ATAATTTGGTATTTTCAGGGATGTCAATGTTTTCCAAATCAACAAAACGCAGTTTAAAATCGTCGCTCAATTTTTGAAGATTACCTGTATATATTTCCAAGTCTTCTTTTATTTCTAATTGTCACATATCTGAAAAATACTGATAATCCTTCGACCAATCGACCCTTCCGGTGCGGATCGACCCCCATTCGACCCCCTGGCTCAGATCGACCCCCGCTTTCGTTAAATAGACCCCTGGGGGTCTATATAGACCACTTTGGCGACCTCTGGTATAGACAGACTATACATACCATAGCATGATCGGACCAGTTGGTATCGGCTGAGGCAAAGTCGTCTTCAACACCTGCCAGAAAAAGAGAAGGCCTCAGCACGGGTTATCATAGACAAGAAATTTGATCTTTTAGTAGTTCAAATGACGTATTCCGTATTATCCACCACTGCGCAGTTTAGTAGCCCAAACATAGCGACTTCTTTCTTATTTTTTATCCACTGCGCAAGTTTAAGTACGTTCCGTCGGACTACTAAATTGATCCGTGCTGAGGACTTCCTTCTTCTAAGAGGTGTTGCATCAACCAGCACGGGAGTAAAGACAAGCATGGTTGGGAAATTCTTTTTTCATCTGCCGTTTTATGTGTCGTTCGAGCAAAGGATGTGCACTAAGTTTTATGTAAAACTCAGACGGCTGAAGCTTTCTAACAAGATAACGATGTCTTTTGTGGATGATTTCTTATCGGAAGTCAAGAACATTTTTTTAAACTCAGTGAAGAAATCTGCGATGAAGTTGATAGGCTATCAAAGCTAAAAATCTGATGATAAGTGTAGTTGAACTCTTTCAGACCGACATTTGTATGTTCATTTAATTGCTTAAGACTTTAAACATTTGAAAAAGTACCATTCATGAGATTGTGGCGGACCATCTGTAGATTTGAAAAAGTCCGAGAACAGCTTTCCAGTCGAGACGTAGTTCTCGTGCTCAGAAATTACTTTGAAAATTCCGCACGCGGCTTGCACCGACCACAGTCCTGATGTAAAATATCCTCAGTGCTAAACGGATTATGGGTTAGAGTCTCTTTGCCGTCAGGTTAACAGTGGGAGGTTTTTCTCTCCGTGTAACGAAAATGCGGGTTAGTTCCATCAAAAAGTCTTCCAAGAAGGCAAATTTTTCCCAATACTTGATCCAGAAACTCCCTTGTCTTCTGAATTGGGTTCAGAATTACAAGGTTAATAGTTGAACATTAGTAGTCGTAAACCCAAAAATTGGGTCTGCTGTTCAACGACGGTTATTAAATAAAATAAAACCACCTTGAAAGAGCATTATTTTGGGATTGATGACAGCGAAGAAAAAGCTTGCAAAAGACTAAAAGTTCCAGCTAAGGCCTACCACGACGCTTAGAAACTTTTCTGCTAGCGATATATCGAGTCAAGAGCTGCTTATTTCGAACCTTTTAATGCGTTATAACGATAGGATCAATAAATGTTTTTAATAAACTTACTAGCATTACATTTCATACAAAATGTGTATTGCTACAAAACTATTGAATTTATGTCAAATATAGAAATTATGTAGAACATGAGTTTTTTCTTTGCAAAGTAATTGTATTTCCTTTTCATAGCAATGGGAAGACAGAAGCTTCATCATACCATTCGCAGAGAACGTATTAGTACACCCAAGTGAGTGTTAATTGAAATCAATATTTCACAAATGCATTGCATAACAAAGAGAAATACTGACGTTGCTTGTATTTCTTTCCCGTTTATTTCAGATAACATATAAAGGTTGTTCAGTAATGACCACCCTTAAAAGGTATTTTTTTAAATCCGAATCAAAAATTAAAAAAAAAAAACAATCAATTGCGGGTCGCAAATTAATACTTAAGCGTAAATAAACGTTATCATAATCTGACAAAATACAGTAATGGAAAGAGAATGTAATAAACATCAAAACAAATTATTGGAATTACAATTTGATGGTTTTTCCTCCATAGCAGTCAAACCTACTTTGTTATTTATTACTGTTCACTGTTTTTTAATTACTGTATTATTCACTGAACCATCATAAAAAAGGGTGTACGCCCCAGTCTCGGTTTAGTTAGAAAGCTTTATATATATATATATATATATATATAGAGAGAGAGAGAGAGANACTGCAGTTTGGCCCTTGACGTAGTGGAAAATAATATTTGTATTTTATATTTGCATTTTTAAAATTTTTTTTGTATTTTTGAGGAATCTTACAGTTTCCATACTTTGCTTTAAGATTATCTATCAGTCGATAAAATGCCTATAGGGATTACATATGATGTCTAAGTAAAAAATAGTTTGCATACTTCATACTTTGTCTAACATTTGGCAGAATTTCCTAAAACGCTTAGATATTCCATAGAATAGCGTTTCATACATTGTCCGTAATAATATTTCAGGAATATATAAAAATATTTGTAATTATTTTTACGGCAATTCTCAATACCCTCAAAAAACTTAAAACTTATCAGATGAAAAAAAAGAAAGTAAAAGCCTTTTATATTTTAGAGTGACATAGTTTTGAATCGACACATCCATGATATTATATTTTACGATGTTGGGAAGTGGTTAATACTAAACATACAGAATCATCTTCTTATTTAACATATTTTTTTCAAAAATAATAATTTATAATGAGTGGCAAAAGCTGGAAGGTGAGGTTAATGTTGGAAACAGCCCTAATTTCACACTTTTTTTTTAAATGTTTAAATCAAAATATTGATTCACACCAATAAGCTATTTTATCATTATAAAGCATAAAACTATCATTATAAAGCATAAAACCATCAAAAGCACAGTTTCTTAGCATTTTATATAGTTTATTTCATATAATCTGAAGCCTCAGTAAATTAAAATTACTTTATTTCAGAGCAATCTGAAGTGAAAGAAACCGTTGAGCAATTACAACATGTTGAAGAGCAACAGGAAAAACTGGAAACGAAAAGGGAAGTAAAGAGAGAAGCACCCACAACTGAAAAACAGAAAGAAGCTGATAAGACTCCGACACACAGAGCAAACATCGTAGTGAAGGGCATTTATGTAATAGGAATAATCATCATTTTTTATGTTGGATACACGTTATTCAAACAGTATAGAGCTCGCAGACAAGAGAGAATTCAGAAAAGACTCTTTTAGTGTAGGATAATAAATATTTAAAAAAAATAATAAACTTTAGTTTTATAAACTACTTTTTTTAAATAAAATTATACCTCGAATTCTGTGTTCATTAACTGTGTTTGAAAAACTACTTTTGTAAACGACATATGGGGTGAACTCCCCTCCCTGGAGAACTGTCTACGCATATTATTTTTCAAGGGGACTAAACGAGATTTCTCTAGCTTTTCTCACTAAAATTTCATGAATCATTCTTCATAATAATTTTTTTAAAATTTATTAGCTATTAAACGCTTTAAAAATCAGTCAGTCAAACTTAAGCTGTATTCTAAGATAAACAACATTAAACTTTTTCATACCTTCTCATTAAAAAGAAAACTTAAAAGATAAATATCAACAGCAAAAAAAATCTAACTAGGCCAGACATATCTTTTATGTCTGACCTAATAAAAATATAAGCATAATGAATGCTAAAGTGGAGTCTATTTTACTTTTACATGCATTTAAATAGTGTCTTTTTATTAACTATTTTATTTTTATAAAGCACATTCATTAACATATCATTTAGAAATACATTTTTTTCTCTCAATAATTTATACTCAAGAAACGTCAACAATATCAACCTGGTAGTCTCACCGTATTTTTCTTCCGATCACCAATGATCAAAAGAACTGAGAGACTAATCATCTGCTGTCACCAATGTATTAAGGGGTATCATTATGGCTTCGGAATTTCATTATTTGCAATTTGTAGCAGTTGCCTAGCTCAGAATAGTTTCATTTTTAATAACCGGTCTTATAAGATGATGGACGACTTGGTCATGTTTAATCCGCTTAGCCATATCGATCTTCAACCAACCAACAGAATGCATTAACAACTGGGGAATATATGAATTTCATGAAAATGTAGACTGTCATATATAGAACAAACCATCAATTTAAACATAGGTTCAAAGAATTGCACCATTCCTCCGTCGCAAAACATTACTTAATAGAAGGCCATTGGTTCTATTTTTTCAAAAACCTCATATCATCCATAAATGTATTTCATGAGTTGACCTAAAAATTTGGCAAATTTTCTACACCATAAAAAAAAACGTCTATTGTTAATGAACTTACTGCTATATTCGTATCAAACATTTGGAAATCATTCATTTTTTAAATCTTCGGTCATTTTACCCTTTAACTGGTTATGTATCTCTTTAAGCATCACGTTACCTCTTTAAGCATCACGTTGTTGGATTTTAATTATCTGTTTTTACCATGCCTATCTTTTACCCTACTGATGAAGGTGCACCAATGCAATTCAAAAACGTGTAGAGGTTTTTAATAAAATTTTGCTATCTGTGACTTTAAACATTGTTCTTAATGAAATTTAATTTCATCATGAAGGATTAGCTTCATAATTTTATAGAAATAATACACCTATGTAGGGTGGAGATTTTTTTTTTCCGCATAGGGGTGCCAAAGATGGATGGGATGGTACTGAGAGGAGTGCCTATGCTTTCCAGTGAGCAGAAGAAAAACTTGTTTTCCTTTATTACATTTAAACAATAGAATTATTTCAGCATGTTAATTTTCTTTTTTAATTAAGTTATAAAATCCAAGCAGCCTTTTCAGATTATCCTGTACTTTCTATTATAAACAGAAAATCTACAGCAATACAGAAATAAAATGAAACATAAATTTATTAGAAAACTCATACAAATATGAATGAATATTATTTACATTTACAAAACACAAATATCACAATTAAGTGCAATGATATAATTTTGTGTAAAATAAAACATTAAATTTTTTTTTCCATCATAAATTTTGTCACATTCCTCCAGTTTAAACTGAAAAAAAAAAAAAGGTCCTCATGAACTCTCCTTAAGTAAGAATTTGATGCAGCTGTTCCTTGACATCTTCAATTAACAATGCACTGCAAGAAATTTTTATCATAATACCTCTGAACTGTTAAGAACTTAATTTACATTTGCATGTCAATAAACTTATTTTCATTGCACTTTATAGGTTTTGAAAGATAAAAATAATTTTATAAAAATAAAGCAAAATTTCAGTACAAATATTTATACTAAAATACTGCATGTGGTAAAAATTATACGACATTGTCCGTAGATAAGATAAAATTTTTGTGTATGAAGATATATGAAAGTAATTTATGTAAAATAATATAGATTCATAAAATGAAACTATAAATTATTTACACATGCAGATAACATACATTATAAAAACTATTAAACATTACTTCTAAGTGTAGTATATGAGTTTTTGTGTAGGAAGATAACTATTATGTTTAAAAGGAAAATTATTTTTTTTAAAAATTATTTGAACTAGCATCAAAACCTGTTTAATTACACAAGGAGGAGTTGAAAAACTCCACAATGTGCAATTGATTAAATATCTTAAACATCTATATAATAAATAAGTGCAATATATTAAATTTTCTGCAATAAAACAAATTTTTATGCTTTTAAATCTGTTTTCCTCAAAAGTAATTTCTAAAATTTTGATAGTATTTATGGTATTTTCTCATTCAGTTAATATAAATTTATGACATCCTATTTTTTTTTAACTTCATTTTTAACAAGAATTAAAAAAAGCATGCAGTTATCACCAAATACCTTGCATAACACAAACTTTTCCACCCATATTCAGACTGGGAGGGTGGTACTTGAATTCGAAGCCCCCTTTGACAGAATAAAATGTTCTCAAGTTTTCAGAAATGTTAATAAAGCGTTATTGATTTTGCTTAGTAATTTGATTAATGTAATTGTTACATATTTGTGATTTACATAATAACAGAAGAAATTTTAAACGTTCTTTAATAAGCTAAATATTTTATATTTAATTTTAAAGCAATTACTTTTTACTTGACTTAGTTTATTTTGTGAATTTATTGTACAAGATTAGTTTTGTTAGTCATTAATTTTACTATCCATAAAATACATGTGCGGGAACTAGTTTATTCTGTTTCCAAAAATACATATTTTTTCCAACCCTAGGCTGTCTAAACAGCTTCAAATGTAGCTTAAACTATTGTAACCCAATTTCTTTAAGCGCTTTTACTCAATTAATATTTAAATTCTTTGAAACAAAAATGTTAGTCAGAAATTTTTCACCGAGCAAACTGATACCTGAAAACAATTTAAAAAAAAAAAAAATTAGAGCACAATAAAACTAATGATCTTTTGAATCAGCAAATAATATTGAAATGCATATACGTTGTTATGAGATATTAGCATTTATGTAACCACTTTTATTTACATATCCAATTGAAAATCAGCAAATACCAATTGAATTAGTTCAACTTATTTCATTATTTTGAGATGTTGCAGTAATTAACAAAACACATTTCTAAAGTTCTACACATTTCTCAAGCTCTTCACATTTTTAAAGCCCCGGTTTGTGCAGACCTCCCTTAAAGGAAACCCACGACTTTGATTGGGGCTCAGGTAGCGATCGCTTTTTTAGGTCTACGGCTACTCCGACCCTGGTTACACCATAGCTTGCATATCTTTTGACTACTTTCATTTTCGTTTTTTACTTTAACACTAATTATAATCAATACATAAGTTAAGAAGTAATTTTTAAAATATAACATCAGTTCAAGAAAATGTGATCAGTTTAATGAATATAAAGATTAAAATTTTTCTTACCTCTTTTGAATGCTATCTAACCTAGAATAAAAATTTGAGAACAAAGTTTTAATAAAATTGTTTAGAAACAAAATGACAAAAAATTTAAATAATAATAATTTTTTCTTTGTTTTTATTATGCACTAATAAAAGAAAAAGAAAATTGTTTTAATTACACAGAATTATTTTAACTACATGTGAATTATCAAAAATAAAATTAAATAGGTAACCTAACTTGCAACCAAATATATATATATATATATATATATATATTGATTTGAGGATGTCATAATAGGTTATAATAAAATTGTTGAGAAATAAAAATGGGGGAAAAATGTACAACATGATGATTTTCTCAAAAAAATTTTTTATTAGTATGCACTAATTAAAGAGAAAGGAAACTGTTTTAGTCAGACTTAAATTAAGCATTGTTAGAAAGAAAGCTAAATAATTTTTCATAAAAACATTTGATTTGAGATTATGATAACAGGTTGGCACAAAATTGTTCAGAAGTAAAAATGATACAAAAATATATAGAGTGATAGTTTAAAAAACTTTTTTGCACTAATTAACATTGAAAACTAATAGTTTCAATCACCTTAAACTTTCACATCAACAGAAAAAAAATAAATCTTTGTTACAAAAGAAATTATAATAATAATGTTTTTAGATGACATTTAAAATAAAAAAAATAATAAACCATTCAAAATGAAGCAAAATTTTAATAAAAAAAAAATAAGTACACTCTTGTTTATCAAAAAGAAACATTAATATTGTGCAATGTAGAATTGAAATCTTTGTGCAGGAAGATATATAGAACTTAAAAACATTAGAACATAAAAAACAAACGCAACAATTGTTGCTCTCATTGTGTCATTATTAAATTTATTTTTATAAACAATTATGTAATTAAACAAAATTGAATTACATTAAATTTTGTATGTTTGAGAAATTATAAGTAAAAAATATAGACAAATATCAGTGGTGGGTGTTAAATTTTATTAATTTGTTAGACAAGTATTTTTACATAAATTAATATATCCAAAACCTGAATGATTAATCTAATAACATAAATAACAAATTTAGATAACTAAAAAAAAATTTAAAAATCTCCAAATTTTCTTGAGCTGATTATGTGTATAAAAATTAGAATAAGAATGATTTTAAAAGTTGTTCTAATAGATTTTTAATAACCTGTTAATATAACATTTTATGAACATGTCTACTTATATTTGTTAAAATATATTAAATTTACTTTAAAAATTAGAGAGTTAAAAATTAATGTTCTCATCTATAAGAGAATATTATTAAACAATTTTTCTTTATCGAAAAGATAAAGGAAAATTGATACTATGACTTAAAACAGTTACATGCAAAATTTTAGTTAGACAGACATGCAGATAATTTAAAGAATAAAAATTCAAGCAGTCCAGAAGTTGAAAAATAAGTCTGACAGTTTTGGTGTTTGAACTAAATAAACTAATAGTATTTGAAAAAAAAAAAAAGCAAGATTATATTTAACTATTAAAATATTGTATCAAGCAATCTAAAATAAAATTTTTAAAGGCAGAAAATATTTATATTCATGCCTACATTTTTTAGTCATAATGCAGAAGTACATAGTAATTTTTGAATTCTTTTCTAGAAATTTCTAAAGAAAACTTATTACCTAAAAACTATAAAGAAATCAGCAATTTAATTGGTTATATTTTTGTGGTTACAAATACTTACTGCAAATTCAGATGACTGGTGAGCAGTTGCATCCGTTTTAAATTCTAAAACATAAGAAAATATTGTGATCAATTAAAAAAATATACAGCTGCAATTAATTATTAAAGAAAAATTTGAGGAAGAAGATTTCCATGCTGGCACCTGCTCCAAAATAACTGCTAAGTTTTAAGGACAATTGCAACTTTTTTTTAAAGCAACAAAAGAGGAAATAGAAGAGGTTAAAAAGAGTAAACTCATAGCCAATACAAAAACCATTTGGCGTCTTGGCGGTGATGGTTGACTTGTACAGGTGCCAATATGGAAACATTCGCAACAACAAAAATACCGTTTGCGAATTTTCGACTGCATATTCCTGCAAAGCAAAGTTTCTCGCTGTATGCATGAGAGTCTGCAAGACAAAATCATAGTACACATATTTGATATTAATGTATAAAATATTAAAACGTTATCACATTAAATAATTTCAATACATTACTTCATTGGATTTTGATCCTTTAACGATTTGCTTCGCTAAAGAGCCAGTGCTGTTGACATTTACTTGAATTCTATCCGAAAGACGCGCTTTAGATTCACTGAACAATATTCTTGCGCTAGAAGCTGAAGTAGGAGCAGACATTTCCTATTTACATTAAATTATTTAAGAACATATATTTGTTTCAAAATACAGCTGATGCTTGATTATTTGTGTTTTCGTTGTTTAAAACGAACATCTCTGACTGCTTATTCTTGTTCTAAAAAGAACTATAACATATAAATAAAACTGCTTACGCAGCCCAAATAGATAGATTTAAACTTATTAACTCATGTTTTCAGATTACGATTTCGGAATTAATCAGATTTGAATTGAGGAAGAAAATAAATTAAGAAGTTAAGGATAGATTATTAACATCTTTCTTGCTAAAATTTCAATGCTTAAAACTTTATTTTTCTGCTGCAGGCAAGTTACATCTAAATCAATTACGGGTCACGAGTTCCGATTTAGCAGACGGCATGCTTATGTTTACATAACATATTACCGAACAACGTTAACGAATAAGTATTGTCAAACATTTAAAGAAAGGAATATATCTGACTTATTGACACCATCTGTCCCGCATTTTCTCTCAGTTTTTATGAACTTTCGATTTTACATAATGCAACTGTAATATTTCTTTTTACTTTTTATGAAGTAATTTGAAAAAATGAAAGGAATATTGTTGTTTGATAATTTAAATGATGTTGCATTCTATGATATTGATGTGGAGTTATCACAACATATTCAAAAATTAGGAATTAAAGATGGTTTAATAGAAGTAAGTTTCAATTTTCTTTCCCTATTTTTGTTATTGTTCGAAAGTGATGAGAGATGAGAAAAAAAATTTACATTCATCATTCATAATTTTCTGTTACAACGCATTGAAATCGATTGCGAATATTTTCCGTTTTTCGTTACAAATATATTTTAAATTATCAAATATATAACTTGTTTCTCTACCTGTAAAGATTAGAATTGTATACGTGACAAGCTGGCCGGCTATGGAAATCTGAAATGAAAATCTTACCAAAATAGAGAGTTTTTCAAAAGCTTTTCTTTCGGCAAAAAATTAGTTCAAATGTTGGTTGTAATGTTGTTTGGTTATTCATAAATTGCATTTGTAATTTATGAATGCAAATGTATTTTTAGTAACATTTGTTTCATCTTCTAATGTTACTTGGTTAATTCTTAAATTACTTCCACGTTGAAAATATAGTAAAAGAAGAAATACATCAGAACAGACAGAGACTTTTTTCCCTCTCTTTTTAAAAAATTAAAATAACGATTAAAATAATTGTCTACCTTGTCCCCTCTTGATCTCGACTTTTATCGTTGAAAATACATCTAATGTGTATTTTATTATTATTTTTTTAAAAATAAATATGAAATTATTATGAAAATTTTATAATATTCTAAAAATTACTTTATTTCCTTATCTTAAACTTTTTTTTTTGTTTTATAAATGAACTGGGGCAATGCTCATCTTATTTTGAGAAATGCTTCTAAAAAATGCCTTAAATTTTAAATATCAATATTTTTTTAATTATTCAAAGTTTTTAATTTTCTAAAAAATAATGGCCTTATGTTTTAAAAAATGGCCACTATTAAAAATGCTACCACTGGTCAGAAGTAAAATTTCCCAATTTGCCCCATATGATAAGACATAATAGAAAAAGTCTCATAATTGCATATCCCTTATCTAAATAAATTATTCAACCAAAATATTGATGTAATAAAACATTTATTAATTAATGACATTTATTTTCCTTTTAAACAAACAATTTTTCAAAACGAATTTGTAAAAAAAAAAAATTTTTTTTTTACATTTTTAAATTTGATTTACATATTTAAAAATATATATATATGTAAATTAATTCATTTTTTAAAATTCAGTCTTTGATTTAAAAGTTAACAAAACTTTTTTATCTCTGATAGTTTAAAATTTTTTACTGATTTTAATAATTTAAAAATTTATTTTTAATAAATTGCTGTGTATTAAATCTGATTACCTTTGCAAAATACATGATGGTTATAAAAATCCTATCAGTTTAGTTTTTAAACACAATTTTCAAAACATTTCATTTTAATTTTGCCTAAAGTGGCGTAAAAAGTTTTGATAAAATCGAAACCAAAAAAATCTGATTTAATTTAAAAAATTTTGTTTTAAATAAAGTGAATTAGATTTTTAAATCCTTTTTATTTATTTATTTGTTATATAAATAAATTACCATTCCTGGTTTAAATGGCTTTTTTGCAAATCTACTTATGACTTACAAAGAGCGTTAAAAGTTACTTATTAATCAACTTAAAAACTGAAGTTTTGTTTAATAGATTTATCAAGGTCATATACTGTGCATTTCTTTATTATTAAGGGGACGTTCAAAAAGTACGTACATCCCGAAGAGGGGGGGAGGGTATTTAATATTTTGTACGGTTTTGTACGATGGGGAGGGGGGAGGTATTATACAAAGTACGTACTTTATAAACATACACCAAATTTAAATTTGACTTTATCCTACACCCTCCTTAAGTAAATATTTAATTTTATTTAAAACATAATTATTTTAATTTTTATGAAAAAGGGGGGTAGACTAATAAAATGTACATACTCTAAGGGGGGGAGTAAGACCTTATGTACAAAGGGGGGGGGAGGGGTTTAAAATTTCTCCATTTTTGTGTATGTACTTTTTGAACGGTCCCTAACACAATCATGAATTTTGTATTTCCAGACATTTTCTGTCAATGAGGAGAAGAGGATTGACAAAAATGTTTTGATGCAACTTTTTTCACCCTTAATTGCATCTTATAAGGTGATGCAAGGACAATTTGGAAATAAATATAGATACGTTGAGTCTGAAGATGGTTTGTTGTTGGTTTTTGATGAAGTAAGATTATTAATCTTTTCTTCTTTCTAATTAAAGTTGAAATAATTTTTGAATTTTAAGTACATATAAATAACACCTAGTTTAGGATGAAAAATGTTTTTTTTTTTTAACTAGAAAATTATTGTTTACTAATAAATTATTATTTAATTTGTTTAAAGATGACATGTATGTTGGCTGCTTGCAACATACATGTGCAAATTCTACATATTAATTCATCATTTATATAGGTTAGAGAAAAAAAATTCTAGCTATTCAAGATCTACTGAAGTTGAAATTTAAAATTTATTTAACTTTATAGTTTATCAGATTGCTTTTAACTCTGTTATTTTCTGATTACACTGATTATTTGGCTTCTGGACGCTGCTGGTTACATTCATAATTTGCTGGTTACACTGATTATTGTACAGTAACAGAAAAACCGGAACGAAACTCAATAAAATTTTTTTTCCCTCATAAGATTTTAGGATTTTTCGTTCTTTTTTGAAAGATGTTTACCTTACCCTCATTTTGGAAATAATCATTAGTGTATTGCTTCATCGTTTTTTTTTTCTTTTTAAGATTATTTCCAATTTTTTTTTTAGTTTTGTTTAACAATAAACAAAACGACTTTTTGTAGCGATTCAGAAAACAGGAAAAATCAGTTATCCGGAATATCGATGATCCCGATCGTTCCGGATAATCGGTTCTCTACTGTCTTTACAAACAAATAAAATACTGCACATGCTTATAAAATGTATTTGGTTTTATTAAATAAAATACTTGCTTATGAGTTTAGCCTTAAGTATAAATGATATCAACCGAGACAAAATATTGCAAACTTACAAAAATGTTTTGGTCAGTTTGCTTTTAAGAATGAATGCTATTAACAATTATTTTAAAATTATTGTTATTCAATTTCGGGCTTAAAACAATATTTGAATGCATGTTTATATTATTTATCGAAGCATTGCCAGGCTCTTCAAATAATGATTTATTATTTTATTTTATTAATTACAAAGCAAATAAAAAGTTTTCATTTAGGAATGAATTAATGAACCAAATTTGTGATTGTAAAAAGTTTATTTTCCTATCTTTAACTCTTCATTTAAGAAACAATTATAATTTTATTTTCAAACTTAAGTTCTACAATTTCTTCTAATTTCAAATGTTCTAATTTAAAAAAATTTTTAACAACATTTTAAATCACAATTTCTTTTTAATTCAATAAAAAAAAGATATATTTCATATGATTTAAAAATAGTACTCTATAAGTTATTTATTTCTTCAAATTTTAAATGTATGTTTGGAGGTTTTTGTTATGTCTTAATTTTATTTTTTAGGTGTTGAATTACGTTGCTGTAAGTATTTGTCATGAAGAGGAAAAACTTGAAGAAGTTCAAAAGGAACTTAGCTTATTTTTAATTGTAGTAGAGATGTTATTTGGACCTACGCTACATTTGTAAGTATACTTTCTAATTTCAGAATTTTGATAACTTTTGTTTGTATTTGACTACTTTCCAAATTTTCTTCTTATTTTAAATAATAATATTTCTTTAAAAAAATTCACCTTATGGCAGTTTCAGAAGAAGAAAAACTATAGAAGAATTTAATTTTTGTAATTGTATATTATGCAATAAAAAACTATTATCTTGCTGATTTTGGTCATTAAAGGTTGGCAGGTATTTATTAACCCTAACAATTTAATTATGATTGTTTCAAATAATTTATGAAATGATTATGTGGTTATTGAAATAATTATATTATTAATTATGTGATAATAATTTTTCATTTTATGCTATATATAATTTATTTACAGTGTTGCTTAATTACGTGATGAATTTTTTATAATTATTAGGGAATTTATATTAATGTGACAAAAATGTTTCTAAATTCTTACCAAACATTATTGAATTTGAGAATAGAAAATCAAGGTTCAAAATCATAAAAAAAAGAAAGAAATTTTTTGTTTGTTTAATAAGTGTGAATTGTGCATGATTTTCATAAGGAATTTTCTTAAGCTTTTTCTACAAATAAATTGATTGTCGAAGATTTAAGCTCTGTTTTTATTGACCTCACTAATAATTGGTTAGAGCTAGAAAACTTTTTTGATACTTTCTCATTTAAATGTTCGTTAGCATCAATTAATGTCAATACTTTTAAAAGTTCTATTCCGAAAATATAGATTAAAACAGTTATTAAAAATAAAAAATATAATTTTTTTTTTTTTACATGAAATTGTCAAAAATTTGTGATTGGAACTATACAATATAAGTTTTTAAAATTTTTTTGTATTTGATTATGAAAAATTTCTTATTTACAGGAAAATATCTCTAACATATGAAAAGCATTGGAAGATGCATAAAGGCTTTAAAAAATAATTTTTATCTGATTATCAAAGTAATTAGATTGTAAACTCCCTATATAAAAGAAAAATAATTGCCAATTTAGATTCAAAATAATAGTAACTCTTTAAATTAGCTATATAAATTTGTTTAAATTTTTTTCCTACTTAACAGAGTTTCTCAAATTAAAATTGTAAAGAGATATCTATCTGCTGTGGTGTGAAAACGTGGCCAGATCTTATTCCAGATTCAGTTTGGTTATTATTTGGTTTCAGTTTGGTTATTTAGTTTTACCCTCTGAGCATGAGTCCTGGCTTTTTCCGAACTTTAAACTGCAAACTTTCTCACACCCCAAAAATTCTTCTTCTGATATATTCCATGAAAGGAAGGGAGCATAGCTAAGTGATTTCAGAGAAATTTTACTCAAGGATTCAACCCTTGGAGAGTTAACAATTTAAAAAATAATATGGTGTATTATGTAAAAAATAGGATGTATAATAATAAAAATTGCTTTATTCTTTTAGGTTGAAAGGTGAAAACATTCCTCTTAATGAATCTATTTCTAGATCTGAACTAATTGTTCTAATTTTGAACAAGTGGAGAGTTTTAAAATCAGAACAGCAGATATATTTGGTTGAGGTAATTTAAGTTTGTAATAGCAAGTTTAACAATTAATTCATTTTAAGATGTCTAACAACTCAATATTAAAAACTTTTTATATTGATGTAATAAAAAAATAAGAAAATCAGTATTCAATGTATATTTATTTTCCAAGTTTGATATTTTATCCTAATTTTGTAAATGTTTTCTGTTTATTTTTTCTTCATAAATGATTAAATTTTTATTTAAAAGCTATTTTAAAGCTCAATTTTTTTTGTTTGCGTACATTTAATTTAAATAAGTTAATTAAATGATGCCCGGTGACTGAGTGGTAGCTCTTCGCGCTTTCGTGCCACAGGTCCTGGGTTTGATCCTCGGACTCGTCAAGTTTGGCTCAGTCTTTCACCCAGCATGCTTGGGGCCTAAACACTGGTGAATCCGCGTTTGGTAGACCACCCAACCAAAACATCTGTTCCTGCATCCTAAAATCCAAGGTCAAGAAAACTGAGATGGGCTTTGCCCTCTATGAGCTTTCGTGCCACTGAGTTTAGTTTTTTAAATAAATTAATTTTTAAGAAATAGAATGACTTATTGACAAATTTAGAATAACTTTTCTTTTTCTGAAATAGAATGACTGATGAGCAATGTTTACTATTGTCAATTTAAGTTGAATTAAATTCGAAAATTATTCTTAAAAAAATATTTTCTCTATCAGTTTCAATGAGCTAACTGTGAGCACAGGTTTATATAGGTGAGAAATAACAATGATTAGAAACTTTAAAATTTTATTACTTTAGTGATTTCAACACTTATATAACTGTTTATTTTTTATTTAATTCAAAATTATATTTATCTATTCTATATAGTTAGATTATTATTTTTTGTGTGGACAGTTTATTAATAGCTACTAATTAATAGCAATTAATTAATAGCTACAGATGGTATTTGGGATTTTATTTGTTGCAGGCATTTGAACTACTAATAATGGACTATTAATGATTTATTTCTTCTTTTCAGACAGCTGTATAACTGATAATTAATTGTTCTGTATTATTTCTGATTCGTTCTCTTGTTTGTAGGCAGTTGAAAGACTGATAATTAATCAAGACATAACAGCAATGTGTATAAATTTACTACAAGTAGTTCTTGAAAAAGTTAGACAAACCCACAAAGATGGAACATACTTACATGCCTTTGTCCTAGTAGATACTAAACTTTTGGCCCTCTATTCTAGGTTTGTTGTTTTAAAACTTACTCAGAAATGAAATTTATGTTTAATGTAATGTATATGTAAGGTTATTTCTTAAAAATTAAATAATAATATTAGTATATAAAATGCAGCTTGCCATAATTAAAGGTTATATAACATGTAATATATATTCAATATGATGTAGCAGGATATCTGTTTTGGTGCCTTAAAAACTATTTTAATGAGGCATTTAATTCAACCCATGTTTCTTCTTCTTTAAACATATTCTGCCAATGATTGACTTTTAATGTCTTAAATCTACATCTACACAATCCATCCATCTTGTGCAAGTTTTTTCTACTTTTTCTTGTATCCTGGCTTACATAGATGACCTTTTTAATAGGGTTCAAGTTGTGAAAAATGCCCGAAATATCTGATATGATAAGCTTTGATGGCTCTGGCAATATGATATTGTTTGTATTTTCTGTAGATTTTATGATTAAACAAAATTTTCTATCTATCGTTTTTCTAATTGAACCACATATTTTCCAAATAATTTTTGTTTCAATGATCAAAAGTCTGTCTTCACCTATTTTCGGTAATGGCCAGCCGTCCCAACCATACAATATGATAGGTCTAAAAAGAGTTTAACTGGGTTTTTTTTTCTTGAAATTTAGAAGTTCAGTTTTATAAATTTTTAAGCCATGTTAACATTTATTAACTCTAAATAATCTGTAATCAATTAAAATTTTTATATTATTATCCATGGAAATACTAGTACTGAGGTATGTTAACGCATTGAGTACAGTATCAATGAATGCTTTATTGGCTACAATACTTGGACTGGCTTGTCATCAATAATGCCTCACTGGCTGCCCTACTTTGGCCAACCTGTCATCAATAATTGCCCCACTGTTATGCACATAGATATTTAAAGTCCACCATCTATGAGAACTATTTGTATTGTCTACATTAATAAAATTTCTCTACATCTGTGCTCAATGTGTTAATTGCTCAACGCTCTTGAAACCATAGTTCATTAGCAGTACAAGAGAGTTTCTGTTGAAAAAATGGTCACTTAATTTTTCTGGAAGCACATTAATTGCATGCATATTTCATCATTAATTTTATTATTTGAGTAGTTGTTTATTTTTAAAATTTTAACAATTGATTCGTAAAAGAATGTCACAATAAGTATTTCAGAATGTTCTGTTTGATCACATCTGCGTTATGTTTAAACTATTTTTGTTATTTAGAGCTTTCTGTTAGCTCCATAAAAAGAGTAAAATTTTAAGATTTATGGATGAAAAGTATATTGAATCATATTTTCCAATCTAGATTACAATTAAACTGCACTTTTATATAACACTTGAGTAAAAACTCATTCATGTTAAAATTTTTGTGAAGAAATATGTTGTGATTGAAGAATTTCATTAAAAGAGTTATTTTTGCTCAGTTATTATAGTGTAGTACAGCATACCAACTGTATAATCAATTCATGCTATTATAAGTAAAGTAAATTTGTTTCTATAAATTTTGTAATATTTTTTGACAAACTTTTTTACCCTAATTATTTTTTTAGAAAATTTAACTTCTTGTTATGTTTACAGCCGAAATTCAGGACACTTGTCTAAAGAGATACTTTTGTTTTTAATTCTTATTGTACAAGTATTGAAAACCCCAACAACTACATCAAAGTCTGAAGAAATAGAAAACCCGCTCTCTGATGATGAGGTATTATTTAAAATGATGGAATGGAATTTTAGATTTTTACTTGTTCTATTCCCATGATCAATGTATCTTTTTTTTCTCTCCTTTTCGCTTTCAATGCATTTTTCTTCCCTGTGGATTTTTTATTGAATATTTTTGTCATCTTGCTCTATAACATTCAACGTATCAATTCATCCACTACTCAGTTTGTAACTAGAAAGTATTGGATTATGTGGCACATGACCATTTTACTATACCTTGTAGACGCTTTCAGCGTGCAAGTTATTTGAAGCAAAGTGATCATTCTTAATCACCATTATGTTGTTATGACCATTAATTGGTAAAAAGATTTTTTTTGTATACCCCCTCTGCCAGTTGTTTTGGAAGATATTTTTAAACTCTAAAGAACTGAACTTACAGCTTGAAGCATATTTTTCCATTTTATCATTAATTAGTAATTAATTCTCCTTTCTAGATTTGTTTGCTTAAAATACTTGCTAATTTAAGTTTTTTTTATGAATAAATATGTGATAAAATCTTTTTTTTTGTTTTGTTACAAGTTCATTTATTTAAAGTTGATTGTGATACATATCTGGGCTTCAAAGTCAATATTAACAAAATTAATATTAACAGATGTATAACACATCTGAAATACGGAAGAGAGTCATCACTGTTAACAGATGCTTTTAACAATTAAGGAAGTATTTGAAATCGAACTTAATTAAAAGAAAAACTAAACTGTTAATTAGACCTATTATTATTATTAGTCTTAGACCTATTCTCACCTACTCAGAAACTTGGCAATTATTCAAAACAATGAAAGTGCTCTTGGAAGCTTAGAGTGGCAGATATTAAGAACTGTTGTTGGCATAAGCTGATGGGGTTCAGTATGACGCTCTAATCTATAACTTTACTGTCATCAACCACATAAAAATACAAAGAATTAAATGGGCTGGCCACGTTATTAGAATGAATATGGAATGATTAACCCAAAAATATTTTGGCCTAGTCCACTGGAATAAGAGCTAATGGCCGATCCAACCTCTGACAAATTTACTGCCTAGAAAGAGATTTTGTCATCCTGAGAGTGAATAATGGGAAGACCATGGACAACAGAAAAGAGATGCTAGAAGAAAATTCTAGAAAAGGCTGGAAGAAAATTCTTGAGAAGGCTAGGACCCACCTTAGGCTGTCATGCTATGGAAGAAGAAGTTTACATTATAAAATTTGCATTAAGCTCTGTAAATGAATGTGTATATTTTTCTCTAGCATACTTTTAATATCTTTTTAAATAAAAATTAGGTTCTTAATTCAGTGCAATTTATTATATAATTATATTAATTGTCCTGGCAGTATATTATTTACCTTTGTATATTTTGAATCCGGAAGAAACTTTTTTCTTAATTTTTTTTTCATTGACAAATCGAAATTATTTTCGATATAAAATTAAAATATGTGTTTTTATATTTTTGTTGAATTATTTTGTAATCATTTTAATGTTTTTTTTCTAGTTTTTTATCCCAATATCTAATGTAACCAAAGCAGCTTTACTCAATGAAGAAAATCAAACAAAAAGTAATGTTTCTTTTTTATATACTTATCTACTTTTAAGTTCTGGGTAATGAAATTTTTAAATATCAAAACTATACTATGTTAACTTATTTGTTATAACTTAAATATATATTAATAAAACCTATACCAGAGTAGCCATATCTGAGAAAAATTTAAAAATTGGTAGCAAAAGTTCGAGGAAACAAAATGTTTTAACTAATTATTATCCACCAAAAATAATTGCAAATTAAATACCTTGTTACTACTGACAGACTGATTACCTAAAATTGAAGTGAAGTTAAAGCTTATAAAATTTATAACAAACTTATAAAATTTGTCATTGCATTTAAAATTTTTCCAGAATGTTGATACCTAGTTTTATTTTTTTCAGATATTTTTTTCTTGTAGTCCTAAAAATTCGGAAAGCTCTTATAATAAAATTATATTTCATAACAAAAGGTTGAAATATAAACTAATTTGATTCATTAATTCATTGATTTTTTAAAATTTTCTTTCATATTAAATACAATTCTAAAAATCTAAATTGAATATTTTATTTTTATTTCAGAATCATCCGGTTTCAAAGAAGTAAGTGAAATGTTAATATTAAATCATTTTATTTATTGAATCAAGTATCACTTTAATTCTTGTTTTATAATTTACTTAATTTTTTATAAGATTTTTTGTGTGCTAAAATGCTATAGTTTATGGTTTGAAGAACATCTTTTAAGTATGCTTTCTATGAAATTACATGCAAAAACATTCTTGTCTGAGTAAACATATTTTTTTTCGTAGATTAGCGATCTTGATTCTCAAAATATGGGAGGTACTGTTATTTTCACTTTTTAAATTTTTTTATTTATATTTTTGAATTTATATTTTGAAAACTGCGAATAAAAAATTCTTGTACGTATTCAAGAAACTTGGTTATCCTATTACAGCAAAAATTAGATGTTAATAATCATTAATTATTATCAGTTTAATAATATTCATCGTTATGAACAATCTATTTATTAATAGTAAAATACAGAATTTGGACGAAATCACTGATAACGGGTCTTGATAAATTGAAATTAGTTTCTAAAAAAATTGAAAAATACTGATTTTATTTTTTTATTTTATTTATAATGTCAGTAGGTTATGACATTAGATTAATAGCTATTTAGGTGATAATGATTTTTTTTCACTCATTGCATACTCTGTTAAATTTTTCAAAATTTTTTAAAAATATTTTTTAGGAAGAGAGTAAAGTTGGTTCCCACAGTTTACTGATCTATTTAAAGTCACGAGCTGGCCTACTTGTGCCCCATATTCTCTACATAATTGAAGTCACAAACAGAATCACCCTTACAATTCTGTATGAGGTAATATATTTTTTTTTTTGGCATATGTTTTCATTAAGATTAAAGTATATAATTTTAAAATAATTTTTTACTAGAAATCCTTAATAACTTTGTAAGGTCTGTTAATAAAATATTTACTGGGTTTCGTTTTAAAAAACTATGTGAGTAGAAGATTTATATGATTTTCTGCATTTTGTTTAGAAAATTAAGTTATTTATTCTGATGTTTCAAAATTAAATACAAAGTTTGTCAAAAGATAGCACTGCTGGGCAGAAGGGAAAGATTTTTTCATTTTCTGTGTTTTGCTTTGAAAACCAGTGAATTTATTCTTATCAAGTTTCACAATTATTTCTAAAGTCTAGCAACAGATGGTGCTGCAAATTAAGTAAAAAAAAATGTTTTCAGATCTAATTTTGACTTGGGGAAGATAAATTATTGTAATTTGTTATTGGAAAATCAAAAATTTTCCTTTTTTTCTTAATTAATTTTTCAAATTGTTCATCACTTTTGAAAAACCTATAAATCAAAAATATAAATAGATTAACTTTATAAATAGAATCACTCTCACAGTTTTGTAAGAGTTTGTAAATGTTTACATTAGTTTATCATGTGTTTTTCTGTACATTAGAATTTTATTATAGTAATACAGCATTCTGCAACATTATTATTTCTATCCAAATATAATTAGTTTATAAATTTCACATCGATTGTTTATTTTATTTTATGTGTACATTCTATTTTATATGTTTTAATAAAATTTTTTTAATTCTTTAATATTTTACTATTAAAATTCTTTAATGCTTTATCGCTGAAAATCTATAGCTTCATTCATTATATTACACTAAAAGCTGGATTACTCAAAGTTACTGTTTCCTTTTAATTCTATGTGAAGTATTTTGGGCATTTTTTTCTAGATTTATTCTGTTAAATTTATTAAATTTAATGTTTTTATTTTGAAGGAAAAAGTTAGGTATGGTTTTCTGTTATAAATATTTTGATAAAAAGAAGCAAAAAAGTGGTTTTTAAATACTTTTATAGTTATTGTTGTCGTAGGCCATTAAAGCAAGGGGTGCAATTGTTCTTGTTTTAAACTGGCGCCATCTATGGCCAAAAATTCGACTTCTGCCACCCCCATTCGTCACATCCACTTATCGGTTGAACCCATTCATACACAGATCATAATTTTGACCTGATCCAGAGAATGAGAGAACCAACATTTCAGTACCCCCAGTAAAGTATTACTCGTTATGGGAACATTGTGGACATTGTGAGCCGACAGATTTAACATGCTCCAGTCACGATTTACTAGATAGGGAGACTTTGGCCGGCTGGATAATACATTTATAGTAGTCATCACATATATCTTCTTGTATTTGATAGATAACAAAACTTCTTATGCGCAAGTTACAATGCTCTATAGACTATAAACTTCATTATCAATTTGTCTTTTACAAATATTTAAATGTATGTGCTCTATGTCAAGAAACAACTCAATATTTAATAAATTTCTTTTTAATTAGAAATAAGTACAATAATTTTTCAATATATATTGAAACATATTGAACATATATTGAACATATGCATTTCATATTTTATTGTTTCTGTTTTGAAATTTTTTTTTCTTTTTACTTAATGATTGATTTTTGAAATTATGAATATCTTAAAATCTTTGATGTCTTATTAATAAACTAAAGCTTTAATACCTGGAATGGATATGAATTTTTGTATAATTTTGGCTTGGAAAACTTATAAAAACAGCACCATTGGCAAAGAAACACACTTTTTCAAGAGTGTTGAGTGTTCTTGCCAAATTCTAATATTTTTTCTGAAATATTTTACGAATTGTTTTTAAAAAAATTTTTGAACCCAGTGCTTTCTAAGTTTTTGGTTATTCACAATTGTCATGCCACATAATCAATAACTAGTTATCTTTTCATTTTGTGAGGTAGCGAAGTTAAATGTTAGACGAGCTTACAATTAAAATATAAATATTTGCTTCAATTTTATCAATAAAATCTGAACAAACATCAGTTTTGAAGTAGGCTTGTCCTTTTCCAAGCAGGGCTCATTACATAACAGACCTGCTTTTCGGTTACGAATAACATAGTTTGATTTCATATAAAATAGTTAAAGTGTCACTACCCTATTCCAGTCATCTATTCTATTGAAAAAATTTCAAATTATTTGAAAAATCTACTTATGTTTGTTGATATAATATAACTTTAGTGTAAATGATATAAAAGAATTAATTTGTATTCTATAGTTTACTGCACAAGGAGTCCTATCTGGGAATATAGCTTCACTTATTAAGCAGTTAAATAATTTACTATATCATCCTCTTCAACGCCATCCTATGGGCAATTTTGTAGATCTTGAAAGAGACTTCAAAAAATTGACTGATATGCTTTGGAAAATGAAAGTATGTGATTTCATTTTATTATTAATTATATTTTGATTTTATAGCAAACTTCTTTTATTTTCTCTGCTAACTTAAATTTTTCCTTTTTTTATTTTATTTTATAACCAGCATTTTATAACCTGATCAAACTCTGAATTTACGACTATAATGTTCAATTCTGTAGCTTTGTAATTTTGAACCCAACCCAGAAGACAAGGGAACTCCTGGTTCAAGAATTACTTCAACTAACCTTCATGGAAGGCTTTTTTATGGAACTAACCTGCATTTGCGTTACATTGTGAGGGAAACCATAAAAACTTCTCATGGTTAACAAGACAGCAAGGGGATTCTAATTCCTGATTGGTATACTACCACAAATATTTTACATTCAGCACTGTGGTTGGTGCTAGATGGAAGCAAAATTCATATCAACCAGCCACCGCTGGGATTTGAATATGGGGCACCTCATTGTGAGGTGAACACTCGAATCTCCCCTGAGCCTCTGCGGCTTTTCTTTTTTTGGGNTTTTTTTGGGGGGGGGGGGAACATGGGGTACATGCGAGAAAGCTAGTTTTCTGTTCATCATAATAAATTCAAAAATTTTTAGTCAAATTTTTAAAATTAATAATGAAAATTGTTAACGAGTAATCTTTTTTTCTTAATATAAGGAATGGAAGTTTTAGTTAAACTAGAATTGTAAATAATTTGAAAAATAAGTGTAGTTATATCACATCCTCTCATGGTACACTATTGCATCTGAAGATAAATCTCTCTCTGTATATATATATACATATATATATATATATTTATANTATATATCTTTAGCTACGATAATGTACTGATATGCATATTACATAAATATCTATATATCTTTTTTTAATTCTAGGCAAAGAATATAATTAAATTTTAAATGCTAGTTGTTGAAAATTTTTTAAAATTATTAATGAGTCGTGATAGCTCAGGGGGTAGAGTGTTCACCTCCTAATGAGGTGATGCAGGTTTGAATTCTCGGTTGCTGATTGATACCAATTATGCTTACGGCTCACAACCACTACACTGCTGATGTAAAGTATCCTCAGTGGTAGACAGATCATGGGTTAGAATACCTTTGTCACCTTCTTAACCATGGGAAGTTTTCATGGTTTTCCTCTTCATGTAACGCAAATGTGGGTTAGTTTTATAAAAAGGACCTCTACAATGACTAGTTTGTTCCAATGCTTGATCCATGAGTTCCCTTGTTTTATGGCTTGAATTCAAAACTAGAAGGTTACAGAGTTGAACATAGAATTGGGTCATAGAAACTCAGAATTGGGTCAGCTGTTCAACGATGGTTATCAAATAAAATAGCATTGGTTGCAGGTTTACTCTGTATAAGTTTTTTTTTTACTTCCATAACTTTAAATGTTATAATTTTAGTATTTTTCGGTTTTACTTAATAAATTTTTGTCATTTAGGCCCCCGTTGATAGGGAAAGACATGTTAGAAGGTTAATAACAAAATGGGACCAATTAAAGCAATCTGACCTTGAAGAATTCTTCAAAAACCCCAAAAACAAGATAACAAATCCAAGGTAAATGATTTTAGCTCCACAATCACTTTTAGATATCACTCTATTCAGGATTTATTTTATAATAATTGTGTTGCAGATTGGAATCTGGACTCTCTTCATGTTGTGAACTGCTCATGACGGTCTTTGAGGACATCATTGCCCGACCCTGCCTTCAATATGAGCAAAAGTCCCACTTGCCAGATCACCAAGAAATATTTAAAGTGATTCAGAAGCTCAGTGTTAAACGCCTCAGCGATGTTGCCGATTTTCTTGAAGTTAAATCAGTGCAGAACATCACTATGGCATCATATCCTTTTATTTTAATTTTATTTAATAAAATGGTGTTTTAAAAGTTTAAATTATGGACTCTTTTAAATCGTTTGTTAATGCAATCCAGTGTGTTTTAAAAAATAGTCTTTTAAAAAGACTAGAAAAATCCACCCTCATGCTTGCTCCACTTACCAACCCGTGTGGTTGTTTCTCAATCATCTTTATTTTTATTCATTTAAAAATGTTTTATTTATTCATTATAATATTATGTAAGAACATTTTGTTGATAGATGTTAATCCTGGAAAAATGAAGGATGTCCTGAATTTGAAAAATAATCAACTGTAATTTAAAAAAAAAAATACTCAAACTTAAGAATACAGAATGTGGGCCACAATATGAAGCAGTAAATGAAAAGTTATTTTACTTTTGAACAATATAAATGATAATCTTATATTATATAACTGTTCTAATTCGAGGCTGTTTTATTCCATTTGAGTTTTTCATGTTTTTAAAAATTTCGATATTAACATTAAGATTTATATTTGGCAACATTTTAAACTCTCAATTTTATTATTATTTTTTTTATTTATTCAGTGTTTTTGTTACTTTTGAGCCAATTTATAAAATAAGGATCTCAAGAGAGATGATTTTTTTCTACAAGAATAATTAGTCACTCATCAAAACTGAAAAAAATTGTGGGTTAAAAATTTTAAATTGCTATAATTTTCATTGCAGGGTGATCCGTTTGTTTTTCCCTCTGTATATTCAATATATATTTGTTTTATTATAAACATTCAGAAATTTTTATTAAAACTTACACTTCTAAGTATAAACCATAAAATGTAATATAATGGAGAACATAGACAAACAAGTAGAAGTTATTGAGATATAATTATTTGAAATATACAAATACTTAACTTTGGCTCTTTAAAAACTTGAAACTTTTGGCATATTTAAAAGCGAGACGTCTTTTAGATTCTCTTCTATTAGAAGATTCAAATGATACATCAACGATAGAATCTATGAATATGCCGCATTTTACTTTTCTCTTTACAAAAACTGACCTTGGTATTATCAAATCTTAATTCACTTTTTTTTCATTTTTTGATAAATAAATATTTGTTGCCATCTTTGCAAATTAAATTTTGATACTTCAGAGTGGCCACAACTGGAAAAATTCGGGAATTTTTATGACTCTAGAAAAATCAGGGAAATGTCAAAGAAATTAACTAAAATTTCCTAAAATCCTGGGAAAATTAATCAATTGGAGTTTTAGGTTTCTAAAAGTTCAATATTTAAAAAGAAAAATTTGTCTTTTTAGACAAAACTGTTTTTATTTTCAACTTTAATAGCAAATACGTTAGTGTTTTGTTACATATTTTATGCATAAGATATGACATAATATATAATACGACATAACTGAACAATTAATAACTAAATTTGTGCCAGTGATTACAAAATCAGCGAAATTAGACGATATCAGGGAATTTGTTTGTGTTTACCCTGTAGCTTTCACTTTTGATCAAGATCCTCAAATGTATGCATTAATGTAAGTGATTAGAGAACACTCTGCAGTTGATTTGAATATGAATTTCTAATGAGTTGTATTGAATTCCTTAATTGTGTCAAATATATTACAGACTATCCTGGTCTTATTCATTTTATTTACATAGACAGAAACTGTGATTGCATGATTGCTCCCATTATTACTTTGAAGAAAACTCATCTGAATGGTACACCCTCACTCAAGTTAAAAGTAATTCACTACCATAAATAGTAATTTGTAGTAACTAAATTTTTATTGTATACAAAAAAGTGTTTTCAATTACCACACATCTCTAATTATGGGTGAATATAGTTAAATTCTTAATATATTAAGTTTAGTCTAGAAAACTTCATGAATTATAATAATCCTATAGTTAAAGTTATATTAGTTTATCTGTTATTACCATTGATAACTTATTGATTGACTATTGAAGAAAAGTATCGAACAAATTATTTTGTCATCATATATACATATTCAGTTTAGTCTAGCAAATTTCATGAATTATAATAATCTTATAGTTAAAGTTATATTAGTTTATCTGTTATTAGCATTGATAACTTATTGATTAACTATTAAAGAAAAGTATCAAACAAATTATTTTGTCATCTAACACTTTTTCTTTTTTATTCAGTTTTTAATTATACATTAAAATGCAAATAAACTCGAATAATGAATGAAAATGTTTTTTTTATTTTTTTTTATTATACATTTAATTGTTCCCAAACACAATGCTAAATGGAACTGTTAAATAAAATTTTTTGTTTGCTTCATAAATTTAAATTTTAATTATTTTAATTACATTAAAATGCAAATAAACTCGAATAATGAATGAAAATGTTTTTTTATTATATATTTAATTGTTCCCAAACACAATGCTAAATAGAACTGTTAAATAAAATTTTTTGTTTGCTTTATAAATTTAAATTTTAATTATTTTAAAATTAACATTCAATATCGAGTTGCTTTTTCATCGTTATTGTCAAACTGTTATAACTGGTATTTTCCTTCTGGGCTCGGGTATAGTATCATTTTACTATTTAAATAACGCATTCTATTTTATTTAACTTGTTTTAGATTATGAATCTAAACTATACATCTATTCAAAATAATGTATTCAATAATCTATTCAATCAAGGGCGCCGGCAGCGGGGTGCACTTGCACCGCCCTGACTTTTTTTTTATACAATTAAAGAGATACAGAAAAGCAATTTTGTTATAAAATATTTTTATTCAAAAACAAATAATTAAGTAATTATTGATACATAACAATTAAAAAATTGTTTAATCAAACAAGAATTGTAATCTTCTTGTTTGCTGTCCAAATCTGTTTATAACTTTTTCAATGAATTCTGAGTCATCTTTGATTCTTTTCTTATGCACACTGAGCATGTAAAAACTTGGCAGATATCTAAGCTATATTTTTAAATTTCATTTAATAAAATATAAATAATATTATATTTTCTATTACTTATTTAGTTTAATAAAGGTGTATAACACAAACTGACTTCTCATAACTAAAACTTCATCAGGACAATAAATACCAATGTAAAGCGTGCGCAAACACATTAGTATACGAAACTACTGTTTGTCGTTATTTGTGTTTCAAAGTCAGTAGCTATGCTTGCGTCATCAATTCAGTTTCTCGTGAATTTGCAAGTACAAGAAATTCATATTTTTTTTTTAATCATCTTGTTAACAATGAAGAAATGTATCTCAAAAAAAAATTTAACAGATGAAAGTATATGCTATAACAAAACAAAATGTAATAACAGAAAATTTAAATTTTTTTTTTTTTGGGGGGGGGGCATGTTATTCANATAATTTTTTTTTTTTTGGGGGGGGGGGTAGTTTGTTAGAGGGTTGCGCACCCCCTTTTATATTATTCTGCGGGCTCCCTTGTATTCAATATAAACTATTAAAATGATATCAATTATTTAAGTTTTGTTTTTTATAAAACTCTTGAAATACATCTGAAATGTAAATAAAGGAATATTTATACAGTACAGAACCCGTTATCCGGAAATCAGAAAACCGGAGCAAAATTCGATAAATTTTCTCGCCATTTTAAAAAAATTTTTTTTTTTCCTCGTAAGATTTTACGATTTTTCTTTCTTTTTTTAAAGATGTTTACCTTACCATCATTTTGGAAATAATCATTAGTGTATTACTTCATCGTTTTTTCTTATTTTTAAGATTATTTCCAATTTTTTTTTTTTTAAAGTTAGGTTTAACAATAAAAAAAACGGCTTTTTGTAGCGATTCAGAAAACCGGAAAAATCAGTTATCCGGAATAGCGATGGTCCCGACTGTTTCGGATAATCGGTTCCCTACTGTATTTTCAGATTAAGAATGATGGGGAATTATTATCTGATATAAATAGAATTGGGTGAAGCATAAGAAAAATAAAAAAAACGTTGGAAGTCCCTATTTTAAAACATATTAAGATATAAACAAGTATGATAAGCACTACTTAAACAATGACAATTTAAATGACAAAATCTAACATTTGACTGAAACTGATTCCATAGTAAAAATTTAATCATCTGACAAAATTTTTCCTTATTGCCCAAAGTATGATATGTGATGTAATTTTTGTAAGTTAAAAAATTTATATATTTATGAATTGAAAAGTTTTTTGTTGTTTTTAGTAACATAAGTACTTAACAACTTGTGCATGAAATACTGTTTTTGAATAGTCTTTCCTATTTTGAATTTTAATATCAAAAATGATCATTTAGTAATATGAATTACTTAAAATAAACCAAATACGTTTTAGATATGGAAGATGGTGTCTACTGGGCGAAAGTACATAGATGGTGCTGAGAATTTTTGTTGTCTTTGGAAAGATGGAGATCTGAACTTTTTCTACCATGTTTGGTTTGAAGACTCAACGGTATCCAAATATTTCTTTTCATGCTTTAAATTATGGGTGCTAAACATTTTACGGTCAGGGGCCTCACAATAAATTTAGGAAAACTTATTGGCCATACCTAATAACAATATATAGCAACTAGATTCATTAGCAGTAAGAAAATAATAGTTGATTTCACTACTGGTTACCAAATTTTATGATTTCTAATATGTTGGTATTTTGTTAAAAATTAAAGTAGCATATCTGTATCAACAACAAAATACAGAAGATCTATATAATGTAATTCTATGAACTGCGATTATCCATTAACCACCTTTGTGGGTGTAAACAATGAATAAACATTTTCTATTTTATGATTATACTGAAATTCTACTGTGTAAAAGAAGAAGGAAAAACTGACAATGAAAAAAGGAAGTTTGCCATTTCACTCATAAACTCTGGAGACCCTAGCTTTAAATAATGATAGAATTTCTGAGAAAATGTAGCATAAAAAAAGTAAACTCGTGTATTATTATTTTTTTTTTAAATTTTACATGTAAATATTTTTTTCAAATTGAATTAACTAAACTGAATTAGCTTTTTTTAAAATTATTGTATAGTAAATTAATAAATGTTTATTTATAGCACTTTTTTGCATATTGTACGGTATTTCTAGTGTATTTTTTCACATATTGCTCATAAAACAAAATCCAGTAGATTCAAATATTAAGATAATTATATGCCATAAAACTTTCATACTTGAATTGAATTTCTTACCTTTCTTATGGTTTTTTACTGTAATTAAAAACTCTGATAAATGAGGGTAAATCCAATAATATTTTTACATAGAATAAGATAGTTTAAGGCTGCTGCTCCTTATTTTTTTCATCTACAGAACTTTAAACAATCTAACTTTTTTAGTAGAATCCCGATTGTTAAAAAAAGTAAATTAGCAGGTGTGAATACGATGGAAAAAAAACTTCAAATTCATTTAGATACAATGTGAAAGAAATTTTTTTCATCGTTTTATCAATGGAGCAGTTTTAAATTTAAGTTTTATGTTAGGCAGTTGAATTTGCTAGTCTGCTGCAACCTTTAATCAGTTTTTGGCGTTTGTATAAATCAGATTGAATAAATTAACTGAATTATTGGTTTTGTAAAAGAACTGTTATAAAATGTGAGAAAAGTTACAAGAGAAAAATAATTTTTAATTAGGTTATTTTATTTTGAACGTGAGATACTGATATAATCATTTGTTAATGCAATATATTGTCATTGGAAAAAAATGTAAACATATATTTTAAAATTTGCTGTTTTTTTATTGTCCTTTTACCTAAATCATTTCAGAAATAATCGATCAGTTAAATACAAACCTATCACAGATTTCAATAATCATTTTTGGTTAACCAAAAAAAAGGTCCTAACTCAGGGAATCCAAAGATTCTGTGGAACACCTTTTGAGAACCAGTGATTTAGGGGGACACAAAATATCACCATCAGTGGACACGTTGGTTGAAGATAGTTTTTCATAATATAACTGAATAAATTATTGATAAATTAAAATGCTACATATGTTACAGTTTAATTAATTATTACATAAATTTTTTATGATTGTTCTTAAAGGATTATTTTTATTAACTTATTAATGAACATCTTATTTTTATACTAGTATTGATTATAACTATTTAATTTTAGAAGAATAAGTATGTTTTACTTGTTTTAAACTTGAGTTTCATCCTGTTTGTTTTCATTCACTCCTTTTTTAGGGTAGAGTGATTAAACCAACCGTTCAACCATCTGTAAAAAAACTTCCAAAAAAGGGAATAATGTGTGGCAACTATTATAAGTGAGTCTTTATGAAATATTACCTTAAAATAATAATTATGTCTATAGTATTTGACTTTATACTTTCGATTGTTGACTTATAATAAGAAAAATACTAAAAAAAACAATCGTTTTACAGAGGGTGGAAGTTACAAGAAATAATTACAATTACTTCAAAGTAATAGTAAAAAAAATACTTTCACAAAAGAATTAAAATATTTTTCTAAAAGATGCTCTGTTGACTTAAAATAGTTTTTGAAAACAATTAATCATAGTCACTGTCATAAATCAATGTTTATACATTTCTCCTATAAATGAAGTAATGTAAATACTACTCATAACCAAATATTTGAGTTCCTGCCTTTGCCTAACTATAATTCAATTTCTTTATAAGAGGAAGATTCTTTGCTTGTATAATTATAAAAACTAACATTATTCTATAATTTTACACTCACCATTAAAAGTCAAACACTATAAATTGTTTTATATAAATGTTGCTGTTGTAAAATCTTCATAATAAACATTTTGCTTGATTTGGTGTTGAATTTTCTTGAATCTAAATGTATGCAAAACTACTCATCAATGTATAAAAAATATTTAAACTTTTTTTTTATAAGAAACTATTACACAAATTAACTTAAAGTTTAATTTTCTCCTCAAGTTCTACCATTTTACTATATTTTTATTTAATTTGTTAGGAGAAATCTTGAAAACAAAATTTTGAACACTCCCTGACAAGTTACAGCACTCAAATCTTACAGATCTGTACCTGATTAAAATGCAAGTTTCAATTGTTTCCTAATCACAACAAGCAGCATTTATTGCCAAATAGAATTATCTTCATTAAAACTTCTAACTAACTGGAGAGCACATATCTCATTTGGAATTCTATTCATAATGGTTTAGACATAGTTGTTTCGATTATTCCCTCAATGCTACAAGCAGAATTAATTGATATTTTGTATATTAAGGGAATTTACTGTCAGTTCAATTATGGTAAACTAGATGGAGCTGTAATATTTTAAATAGAGCTAAGTTTCTGATACCAATACAAGTAACAATTATTTCCCAAATTGTGTAAGCAAAACATATGAAAAAAAAAACAACAAAACAAACACAATAAAAATAAAATAAATTTTTTTAAGTACCTACCTTTTTCAAGTAAACTCAGCAACTTAGGAATTTTGCTCAATATCTTTTAAGCATGATGGGCCTTTTGAATTAGGCCTCGAAAATAAAATTTTACCCTTTTAAGCTACTTTTAAATTTTTTATTTTATTCTTTTATTAACATTAACTTCTACTCTTAATTGATTTACATTTTTAACATACATATAATTTTTTTGAGAATCTTTGATGTTTTAGCTTTGTACCTAAAATCTCATTTTATTTCTACAGGAAGCTCATAAAAGAATGTTTTCCTGGAGCTGCTCATAACCATATTCATTGCTACGAATTCTTCAGTGCTCATTTGAGCTCCACCGATACAGATGTCATTATTGAACACAGCAAAAAGCTTTGCGCACAACTATGGAATTTCACAGGAGCTTATAGAACTTCTTTAGATTTACTGTAAAAATTATCAGATTCTTTCACTTTTATTAGTTCATATGGGCTATTACTTACCTGTTGCCATATTTTTGTAACATAATTGTAAATTTTTAATTTTGTTAAGACTTTTAACGTTTTTTAATATTGTATTATACCAGTGTTTTTTCTGTTTTTTAAAAGAGAATAATATTTTTTATGCAGGTTTTATATTTTTACTTAAGTAACTTGTTTTTGATATATACAAAGTTATTAAATGTTACTAATATATAGTTTAGTTCTTATTCAGTCCCATATTTCACTTAATATACATTTGTTTAGTTTTTAAATATTCTTATACTTTTTTACTATAGATACATTTTTTAAAACATTTTTACCCATATTGATTTACTGTGTTTCATATTTATTATTTAGTTTACTACAGAATGAAGCTATCTATTTTTAATTATCCCGCCACATTAATAATTGAATGATATTCCATACAATTTCGTTATTATTAATTAAATCAATTGCTACTTTAAATCCATTCCTATTAAGAAACAGATGACATAGAAATGGATTTAGCAAGCAGCAGACCTGACAATCACATTTTGTTTTTTTTAAAAAAAAAAAAAAATCAAAACACTGTCTTAAAGTGTTTATAAATGCCACTTTAGGCAACCAGCTTAGTTGCCATCACTAACTTGAAAATTCTATCCCCCCACTTTAGATGGCTTGTTCTGGTTGTGGTGGTAATAATTCATAAAAAAAAACTTCAAGTTGACCTTTACAGGAACTAGAATATTGAGCAAACCTCCTTGAATTTTTAAAAGTTTAAGGACGTAAGTCTGAGATTTAACTTAGTGAAGCCATAACAATGCCTGAATTCTAAGAAAAGTTAAAAAAAAAAAAATGCAGGACACTTGCGATATCTGATTTAAGTGAATAAAAAAATGGATTTGTTGTATTCTTTAAAAAAGTCATGATAAAAAGTACATAAATCTCCTAATGCAAAAATAGAGAAAATATATAAAGCTTAAATTTGAATGAAACAAAATCAGCTAATGAAATGATCATTTGATCTTCCAAATTTGACTTCAAAAATATCAAAAGTAAATGTATTATTCTAACTGAATCTCGTATGTTCTGTCACTTGTTTAAAAAATATCTTCTCTACAAAAAGAAAAGAACCCAAAGAAAATATAAACAAGAGTTGAGTATCATTATTTAGAAACCTGCAACACTTTTAGATTAGCTTTTCAATGATAAGCATCCTACCTTTGCGAGTGGACTTTTCTTTTGCAGAAGAGATATAGATAAGCAAAGCATGCCTATGTTTTTCTTAAACCAGGCACAAAATACAATATTATATATATATTAAAGTTTAGACTATGGAAACAATTTTTATTAGTTAAAGAATATCCTTTTTAGGCAGTTTAGACATTTTGTTGTTGTCTTTAAATGGCTACAAATTTCACACTTAGAATAGATTAAGAAAATTGTTAGTGAAGGAAATATTAGGCTTGCCTTAAAAATAATTTTTTTTTTTAAAAAAAGACAATCGTCTTTTACTTGTTTTGACATTGTGTTCTCTTACAATTGTTTTATTTATTAAACATCATGATTTTAATTTTGAGTTTTTCTATAAATAAATCCATGAGATAAGAGCCACTATATATGCTTATGATAGAAAATTTAAAACATATATGTTAAAAAATTTTTTTTTCTTTAATAGGGACAGCAGAATTTGAAAACACATTGGGCAATAAGAATGTTTCATGAGAAGAAATATTAACACACAAAGACTAACATAACAATATTTAATTCAATACAAAATATTACAATTTTTAAAATACTAAAATCAGCACAATTCTTAAAAATGTCTAAAAAAAGAGACATGTATAAAACACCAAAAACATACAAAGATTTGCAATATTTTGAAACAAATATACATTTTTAACCGAATAATTTTTTTTAAAAAGAAAGTTATAACATAAGTTTGATAGATTATTTTTCTTTTTGATGAAGTTATGCTGATACCGCTTGCACAATTTTAATTAGCACTTTTATATTGCACATTGGACAAAGTATATTTAAGTTTGAAAAATAGCAAAATGTCCTAATTTTAATATTTAAAAAAAGAATTTAATTTTTTTTATTCTTATAAAGAAATTGTATTAATTAATTGGAATTAATTGATTATGATTGAAACAAATAAGGTTGCTCCAGATGAAAAGGATATTTAAGTACACTTTTTTTGCTGAAAAAAAACGTAATTTTCTTTTAAAATAATAATAAATATATAAATTATAAGATTATTCATCAAATGAAAAGCATTCATAAAAAACAATTCCCGTCTTCATAACATAGAAATGAACTGGTAAAAATGATTTCTGAAAAATTTTAAAATTTGTAAAACTGAAGATGAAGGAAAGTGGGAAATATAATTATAAAAAGATAAAAGTTTAATAATTGATACTAAGCATAATCATGAAGTTAATTTATCCACAATTCAATAAGGATGCAAATTAGAAAATAAAAAGTCTATGGTAAATTATTTTTGTTAAAATATATTTTGCAAAAAGGGAGGAATGTTTTTTTTTCTTCTAAGTATCTATTTAAGTGCAACTATTCAATTGAAAACAAATTGCTATAATAATAATGAAGTAGTCTAATTCAATGAAAAAAAATCAAAATCCCAGGTCAAAAATTGTTAAACAAAACCAACTTGTAAATAAAATCACACGAAATTTGAGCGTTGAACTAAATGCAATGTATAAAAAAATAATTCACAAAACGACTTTTCGTAAAAAAATGAATTCACAAATTTGTGACTTTGAGAAAAAAATAAATAATAACACCTTTATATAATTGTAATGTAGCACTATTAATTAAATAAAATACATGTATTTCATGAAATCGAAAAGCAACTTATGTAATTTAAAACATAATTACAAAATATTAAAAATATATATCTTTAAATAAATAGTATGGGTTAGAATCAAAACATGGAAGAACCCTAACAATTTTGATTTTTAGCAAACATCTAACTTAATTGTGACCAATAATTTCTTTTCTCCACAGAATGAATGATAAAAATAAACTTTTTTTGTAATCATTCAAATTTTAAAGATAATTTTTTTAAAATTATATTATTGGTAATCATATGAATTATTTATCATAATCTTTTTATAGCTCATATTTATATGATACCAAATATTTTTAATTAATATATTTCAAAAAATGTTTAAAACTGAAAAAAAAAGACATAAATAAATTCACGATAAAAGCAAATCCTAAAATAAGTACCAAGATTAAACAAAATACCTGTTTGTAGAACCCTGCCTTCAAAGAAAGTATAATTCAATTTTAAGTTACAGAGAAATCTCTAGAAACTTTTATATAATAATTTAAAACAATACATACAAGCTACAGAAAATCATACCTGAATGAAAAACCTTAGTTTAGCAAAAATAAATCTTAATTTTAAATGCTAAGAAAAGTCACTGATTAATTCAACTTTAAATGCTAAGATTCGCTCATTTCATAACTCAACTTCACTATTATAATCACACCTTTAAATGCTCAGATTTATTCATTCAGTAAATCGTAACCACAAATAAAATTTTTTATTCTGACTTTTATAAATTTAGGATGCATAATTAAACTTATATTTAATATTTCTTTGCTTACAAGATTCACTCATTCAATAATTCAACTTCATTCATTTCCTCAGTAATTCACCTTAAAATGCAAGATTCACTCGCTTGTTCTCACCTTTAAATGCTTGGATTCATTCATACAGAAATTAACTTCAAAATACAGGTTGTTTAAAAGTAAACTGCAAATATTCAGTTCGCAACTCTGGTTCTACTGAAGATAAACATGACACCAAATTAGAATCAAAAACACAGAAATGGCATAAATATTCCAATTTATCAGCATATTTTGAGTTTACATGATAATGAAAACATTGCTCCAAAAATATCAAATTCAGTAAAAATGCTGAAAAATCATGTGTCTGTAAAAGGTTTCAATAAAAGATGCCAGTAAATGCAGTTGAGATTTTAATCAGAAAAATATAGTTTGGAGTTTTCATTTAGATGGTGCTGTACTGTTAAAGAGTACATGCAAATGTGTAGCTTAAGTAATGTGCTTTAAAAACTAAATTGGCCAGCAGGGTTACCGGATCTGAAACCCTAGTGACATCTGGATGTGAGGTTTTATGCTTATCGAGAATAAAAGAAATGTAACTAAGAAAATGTTTAAATGCAACTTAAAAGGTCTTGAAAGTCAGCATCATTCTCCATACCCTGCTAATTCCTACAATGTGGGAATGTTGATAATTCAGTGGGGTTATTTTAGCATATTTTTGTATAATAAAGTATGCACATAAAGCACACAAGTAAATAAAATATTCTGTTAATTTTTGATTTCTAATTTGTTATTTTTCTTTTTATTTGATAACAGTGGAAACTGGTGGTAAAATTTTGTATAACTTTTTACAACCACTTATTAGACCACTCGATTTACATATTATATATTAAAAACTTTAATTTGAATCCATCTAGTATAACTGGAGCTAGTAGTTCATGAGCATTGTCAGTTTAATTTTAACCATCCTGTATTTCTTCATTCAGGTTTCTATAAATTTAAGGTGGATCTTTTAGTTTTCATGTAATAACTCTTAGATATTTAATACTTTTTTTCATAAATATATATCTAGTAGGATTTTAGCAAAATGTTATAAGTATTATATCAATCCAAACAACAATGCATAATACAATTTATATTTATAGGAATGGTCTGCTAAAGAGAGAAGGTGAAAAAAAATGACTATTTTGATAATTATCCTTTCATCACAGATAGTAAATGAGGGCATAATAAAAAAAAGATCTTATGAGTCCAACAATTCTACATAATTTGCAGGAAAGAGACCATAAGAACCATCAGGAGCCATACCCTGCCACCAACCTTCATCAATTTGTTCTATCTGGGTGATTATGTCATCAGGGTCAAATGAAATTTCAGTCTCATCAGCTGAAATAAAGAATAATAATTATGAGCTGATGCCTACTAATTTTATACTTCAAAAAGTTCTATTTCATCAATGAGCACTTTTATATTATTAACTGCAGATAGAGAAAGCAATTTTTTTTATGCTTCACTATCTTTCTTGCACGCTCGGATTATACCATTTACTTATTTTTATATTTGTGATAAATATTAAAGCTGTAATCCTTAAATATCTAAGGATTAGTTTAGATGTATATGTGCTACTTAGTTCTTTAAAACATAGTTTCTATGTTTTTAAAAATTCATGGCCTGGCATTAATCTACAATATCAATAAAATGATAAGTTTGTGTATGTCAATCTGTGTATTTCTCTCTCCAAAACCGTTTGAATAGAGCCTTGAAAATAAGACAGCGGACGCAAAGGGGAAATTTTAGCTTATGATCCTAAAAATCAGTCAAAATTTTCAATTACCTCTGTCGGGAAGGATGCTCTAAAAACTTATTCTCATAAGTTTATCATAATGGCATATAATTTTTTAAAATTATTTAAAGGATAACCTCTGTGATGTTTCTAATTGTTTTATTTGTTATGACAGGAAATTTGAATATATATATGGATGGTATGTGAGGGTGACGCTACTAAATTAGTATTCTTAAAACTATTTGAAGCCAAATTTCTATTTTGTTTATAGTAGTTACATTTTTAAAATGTGCTATAAGCTTAAATAATGTGAAAGCAATCATAATTTAAATAAAAAAGCTAAGTTTTGTACTAAAAAACATATTCATCACGAAGATTGTTTGATGGTGGAAAATTTAGGCTATTATAAGCGGATTGTGACAATCCATATAGTTAATTTTTTTGTAGGTGAATTAAACTTTTAAGAACATGCTTTATAAATTTACTAATTGAAAGTTATAAGGAAGAGTAATATAAAATGGATAATTATAAAAAAATTTTGGTAAATGCTTTTTAGATTTGCGAATGATCGACTAGTGTTGATTTAACTTTTTTACCCATTATGAAGAACATGCATTCAGCTAGCAGATTATAAAAACAAATTTCTTATGTTATTCACTATGTGATTATATATACATGGGTTAAGAAAATTCACACATATACAGATCTAGATGTTAAAAAAAGAAAATACACTAAAAAAAGAAGTGACAATTTATATTACTGTTTAAGTTTACTTTCCATTTAACAACCCATGCCAAGATTAGTTTTTCTTATTAATTAATAGTCAAGAATCTCTGCCTCAAAATCAATTTTTACAAAAAAAAAAAAAAAAAAAAAAAATTAAAATTTATCTGTACTTTAAAAAATTAATAATAAATTTTATTGTTGGAACAGGTTTTAATGAAACAAAAAAAAGGTAACTTAACAAAAGAGTCAATTAAAACAAAGTTAGACTTTTTGAGCTTCTCTAAAAGTGAATATGACATACCAGCTTGGTAATCATAGAGGGCACGTGCCCTCAATCCATCTGAAAAAGTGCTGGATGAAATAACCTGAGTGTTATCCACTGTTTGACGTAATATGCCATGCTCTGCCATCATTTCTACCAATGGATCTCGAACATTAGGCGGAGCTTCTAGAGTTGGTTCTGAAATTATACAAATAAACATAAAATGCTTAAATATGAACTGGAATAAAAAGCAGTGACAGAAAATTAGAACATTTTCTAAAAGTATACAGTCTTTTAAAATCATTTTACTGCCTTTTTTCATTGCAATTATTTTACAACATTGAAATTAAATTTAAAAAGAGGAAGAAAAAAAAAAAACATGTTGATAGCTTAATAAATTTTTGTCTTTCTTATTTTCATTTATTTAGGTCTACAAAAGACTTTCCTATGTCAAATTATAGGGCGTTAATTAAAGTTTTTTGTTTTAAACCCTTATTTTCTTTACGCATTACATTTCTTATTTTACTTTCAAGGGAAAAACCTGGTCAGTTACAAATTTAATGGTGCATAATATAAGAAAGAAATAAAACTAATAAATAAAAAATAGAATAGAGTTGTGTATTTAAAATAGTAATTTTGTTTATTTAAATGGTAAATTTGGTTTTACACATAATTAATATAATAATTTTTATTGACGCTTGTATTGACGACATAGTGTAAGTTTATTCAACAATCTGGTTTTCATGATGCTAACAGATGTTGCATTTTTGCACCAAGAAAATTACCCTGATTAAGATGAAAACCGTTTGCAAAAAATCATGTACCATTAATAACATTTTGAAATGAATGGAGGTAACCTCTAAGAAGGACCAACCTCCATTAATGACCATTTTACTGTAGAACAGAGAGTGGTCGCTTTACTGTAAATATGATTGAAATATAAGCCTTACCATCCCAGTTTTGCTCTTCTTCTTCTGCATTCAACTCCATTTCTGAATCTTGGCGTGGAGGCAAACCTTCTTTCAGTAAATTTCTAGTATAGTTGAAATCTTGAGGAGGAGATACTGCAGAGGATACTTCTGCAGCAGGCACAGGCTTTGCTTCTTCTTGTGTGGGACTAAGGTTTGCGCTGTTCGGTTGACTTTCGTACCTCGCTTGGTTTTGCTCAAACTCCTGAAGAACTTTAGGCTGTCTGGAGGCATTTACACTACTCATTTGACCTGCACACGTATTCTGCTCAAAAATAGCTCTGGCATTGATTGTCCTCTGGGATATCAAGGACTGCGCTTCCTGCAAAGCACAAATGAATAAATCAAACAAATTCAAAAGCTGTAATTTTGTGAGATAAATCTTTGAAGCCATAAAGATAAGAGAACATGGAGAATTAGAAACAATTCAGACATTATTTAGACACTGATATTGTCACCGCCATAAATATAAGGAGATTGAAATTATCGGGATACTGGTAGTGGAGGAAGAATGGAAATTGAACTGCGAAGTGGGCCTCTGATTAAAAACATGGTGGCCCTATTTTAGCCCTATATAACGACTAAATAGTTGCAATTTCACGATATAAGTTAAATTTATTTAACAGGCAAGAAAAATGAATGTTACTATAAAACGAACCATAAAATATTGTATATGTAACAATTGCATTTAAAAAAGATTATCTTTCCTTGTTAAATTAATCTTATTCAAGGTATTCTGGGTAAGAGCAAGCAAATATTGTATATGTAACAATTGCATTTAAAAAAGATTATCTTTCCTTGTTAAATTAATCTTATTCAAGGTATTCTGGGTAAGAGCAAGCAAATGATTTAGAATGCCAGTTTAGGTTATTATATACATTACTGGGGATGTTAAAAGTCAAAATTCATAAAAAGCACTGTTTCCTTCAAAAGAAGATTAATTCAGTTTCTTATATAAGACAGAATTCAAACATTTAGTTGTTAGAAGAATTTACAAAGCAACTAAATTTTCTTTAGTAATGGAAGGAATGAAAAATTGCTTGTTTTTTAAGAGCAATAATATTTAATAGAATTCTGAGCCTTTTCAAATATGCTAGAATTAAAGCCTATGCTGCTGAAAACTTTCAAGGGAGCAATCAAATATTTTTTTTTTATTTTACATAAGAGTCAAGTCAATAAGAAAAACCATAAAATAAGTATAGTTAAGCAAAATGCATGTAATAAATTAGTACATTTCATTTTATCACAGGAAAGTATATATAGTTTTTGTGTAGGAAAAAAAATAAAAACAGACATAGTAATTTTTAGTACAGATTGGAAAATTAGCTATTGAATAAGATATATATGCTTTGTTAAAAAAAATAATAAACAATATATTTCAGACAAATCTTACATGACTTCTTTCTCTTCTCAAACTTTCACTTTTTGTTCTCCTTTTTTTCTCATCTTCAGCTTCATCCTCTAATTGTTTTTCCTAAAATTGAAAAAAAATTATTAATTTCATGATAAATTATTTTTTTTAAACACATAGTATAGATTTATACTCTTTTAATTAGATATCAAAAATTATAAGAGGTAACTATAAAATAAGACACAAAAATTAAAAACAAAATGATTGAAGGATATAAAATTAAAAGAAAAAAAACATGGCTGGCTACAGGGTTTTCAATCATAATCTATTCAAATTTAAGGCCTGTTTTGGAACTTTTCAAGGCTATTTCTCAATTCTTTAAAGCCTTTAAGTTTTGTGTTATCTATAATCTAGTGAAATTATAACTATATCTCTTATATTAAGAAAGACCTTTCCCAAAGAAAAAAAAGCATTTGAATTTTTGAAAACAAATTAAATAATATTTAAATTTTTATTAAAAATATACTTTTAGATTAATTTAGTACAAGTTTTCTATTTTTTTAGAACAAAAATTCAACAATAAACCTATCCAATTACAAAAAATTAAAAACTGAAACAGTAACATAACACCAAGACATGAAACAAACTATTAAAAATTTAGGTTTATTTATAGAACTTTTTTCTGTTTGTAACAATTTCAAAATATTAAGGGAGAATGGGGTAGAACTGGGTAGTGAGGTGAGGTAGGGTACCTCAATTATGTCGAAATTAGTTTTGTTTTCTAGCAGGCAAACCCTGAATTATACTTCACAATAAGGAGATACCATATTGACGGGTTATTTTGAGTAATACTTGATGTCTTTGTAGATAAGTTTGTTTTACTCTGCTAACTCTCTATTGTTCTTTTGTTTTTAAATTAGCCTTATTTATTGGTTATAACAGTTATAAAAATTATCTTTACTCTAGATTACTATATGTTCACTAAAGATTTATACGCTTACAAACAATAAGGATTTAGTTTAATAGTAGCACTGTTCTGTTTTGATAACCTCAGCTCTTGGGGTGCTACCAAGTTTTGCCCTCAGTGAACATCCAAAGCTGAACAAAGGTTTTACGGGGTCTAGTACAAAATTTATTGCAGGCCCCTTCTTCAAAGCTCAAAAAACCTTATTTTCATATTTTTCAGAATTTTTGAATACTCTTTATACAAAATAGTAGTTTGTTTGATATGAAGAAATTCTCTATAATTTTTTTTTAAATGAATATTTCGATTAAATTTGACTGTTTGTTGGTTGAACAGTTTGAATCAAACAGTCCTTTAAATTTTAGCTGCTGGGTTTTACCCCACTTTCCCCTTTTTACAAAAAGCTTATTTCTAGATTGATAAATTTAAATGCAAAACCAAATTTACAAGACAAAAAAATTAATAATAAACACTGTTTCATTTTATATTACCTTATTTATGTTAAATTAACGATTTTTAATGTAAAATTCAAACGTTTCTTTATACTTTGCTTCCTTTAAAATAAAAACTAAACAATGTATTAAAAATATTTTAAGTTTTCAATTAAAGATTAAGATAAAACTAGAGTACAATTAGAGAACAAGTAGAGAACAATTTTACAACTCTTAAATAAAAAACTTATAATTGCTATACTTTCCAAACTAGGGCACAATTTTTTTAGTTTGAAAATTTAGCAGATATTTTTCATAACCCTGGGAAAATTTTGCGAACAGGTCTTTATTAACAGAAATTTAATTAAAAATAATGATTTTTTTTTTAAGAATTACAACTAATATAAAATGCAATTAGTTATAAAATGCATTAATACAATAAAAAAGAAGAACAATTATAATATGCAAATTAAGTCTTCGGAATTAAAATTAGTGCCTTGTGAAGATTTCAGGAGATAAATAAAGCTTCTTTAGATGTTTATTAGAGCATATTTAATTTTAAGGACATTTTTAAGGCAGTGGGAACTTGAGGTTAAGAAAGAGCTCTTTATTTATGCTTATTATACATACCCATTGCTTTTTTTCTTGGGCTGTATTTCTTGCAGAATTGTTTGCATTCCTTTCAGCTTCACGCAGCTTATTTATTGATCTAGACCGTTCTGCAGACCATTCCTCCCGAGCAGTGCAATCTTTGATCTGAAAAAGGAATTTTATAAATCAGACAGTTTTTAGAATGGTCTTCAAAAGTATAAATAATTTTTTTTAAATAAAAAAGAAAATGTTAGAATTTTATTAATAACTTTTAACCATGATTTAGTAAATAATTATTTCAATATAAAAATTAAACTGAAACTAATCTAGTTATGAAAAAAAATTATTGAAGTTTTATTTCTACTTCAATATATTTTGGGATTATTAAAGAATATTTTCACTTCTTGAAAATTGGTCATGCAGTTTTAAAGTCACTATGGTCAATTCAGTTTTAAAGTTAGATAAAAATGATAAGAGAATTGACTTTTATTTCTATGTTTGGTTCGAAGAAACAGCTTTTATTAAATTTCAGAGAAAAGAAAACCATTATCATTACAGCAATTAAAATATTGCAATTATTTTTCTTAAAACACTGCTATTTTTAAACACATACTAGTTGCAATGTACTTTATTTTATAATATAAATAATTTCAATAAAACATTTTAATACAGAAGATAGAGTGGAATATCAAGTTACCTCTCGTTCTTTTCTTTCTTCATCTAACCGTTTTCTTTCCTCCTCTGCCTTTTTTCTTTCATCAACTATTCGTTTCTTCTCTTCTTCCTGAGAGGGTAATAAACAACAATGTAAGTAAAAAAAAAAAATTCTCCTGTGAAATAAGTAGGCGGTTCTATAAGCATTTGAAATAGTATGCAAATATATTAAAAACAGCCAACATATTTTTGCTAAAAATAACAATTTGAACAGAAAATAATTTGAGTGTACACATCATTGCTCTTGAATACAGGACAGTGAATTGCCCAAAAGGGCAAGTATTATAAACTAAATTAACCTACTGGAGGAGTTAGTGTACAAAATACATGTCTGTAAGAGGCTTTTACATGCCCAAGCATTGCTGATTTTAAAGACGTGTAATGTACTGCAGAAGTTTCTAAATTTTTAGCTTTATGCAATAGTTTTAGTTCTATTTAAAAGTCAAATAAATGTAAGTTCAAATCAATTTGTTTTCATTAAAACGCCCTCTGCAATATGATAAAAAACGCATACATTTGAATACGTGGCTGTAAAAAAGCCTAATTGCCTGGTAATAGTGTCACGAAATTGAACAATAAGATTTTGATATTGAATGTTCTTTAAATATTATTTTAGAAAGTTGCAAAATTGAAAATTTTTTTAAAATCAAATACAGTAGTTCCTAACCAGGAGAATTTCATACTTTCAAGGGAGAACTGATTTCAGGTCTAATTACAGTTGACTTTTTTGTATCTTCAAAAAATACAATTAGGGCATGTTTCCCTGAACTCTTTACAGAAAAGTTAAATTTAATTAGAAATTAGAGCAATTAAATTTAGTTTGATTTTTGGAAAAGACTTAAAGTAAAAAATTATCTTTAATCACAAGAAAGAAAATATTATATTTGCAGACTAATACATAATTATAAAATAACAAGAGTAATTCTTTGTGATAATACTAAAATTCACTAAAAACGTTTAAAACCACAAATAGAGATTGGTCTCTGTTACTATTTGTACTTTATTTTCCTAATGCAGGTGTACAATTGTGACACCAAAATGTGTATATGTTTTAGTATAATTTACTTTGTTTTTAATAAATTTCATCATATAATTAGTTTTTTGAAGAAATTGTAAAAGACATGAAAATATATTAGCGAGAAAACATTGTAAAACAATAATGACAAGTCAGAAGACATTGTACCTGTTCCTTAATCCAAAATTTTTCTCTTTCAACTGGATTTATCTCAAGTGTTGGCTTAATCCTTTTATAAACACTTCCCTGAGAAGAAAAAACAAACATAATTTTATAAATGTTAACATATAATTATTGGATGCTAGAAACAACATTAAATATCAGCAAGACAAAAAAGTTTTTAAATTCTTGCGAATAAGAAGATCATAAAGCATTCAATTTTTTACTTTTTAAAACAGTGTTTGCAGCTTCCTTGAGTTTTTTAAAGAACTAAATTTACAGATAAAAAAAAGCATACATGTGGCCATACTCACTACTGGTGTTGTGTTTTCTACAGGTTCAGATCTATCCTTGAAATTAAATGTAGATGCAGAAGCCTTGGATACTTTTTCTAATACCAGAGAAGGTTCCACGTCATCTTCCATCCTTGCATTTATGGTAACATGTGCTCCCTTTAAACAGAGAGTTATAAAAATTAAATAACTTGAAATTATGATAGAACTTAAGGCTATTCTCGAAAGCTTTTTTGTGACATGAAATAATGTCTTTCAGCAAATAATATACTTCAGTTTCATAGCTGTTGCAAGTTCTTAACAGTTGTTTCTAAATGTCTAGTTTACTTTTGGAACACACACACTAAGCTGAAAATAAAAGTAGAACAAAATTTCACAGCTTTTCCAAGAATGGAAACCATGTGACTTTGAATATGTAAACGTTTACTGAATCACAGCACTATTTAGAACTAAAAAATAGAAAAATTTATTCATTCATTTCAACGGAGATGAAAAAAAATATTAAGTTTGGGATTTTTTAAAAATGATTTTAATAATCATCTGTTGCAATTAAAATAATTTTCATTGGTTGTTGTTGTAGTTCATTTACGTCGCACTAGAGCTGCACAATGGGCTATTGGTGACATTCTGGGAAACATCCGTGAGGATGATCCGAAGACATGCCATCACAATTTCGATCCTCTGCAGAGGGGATGGCACCCCCGCTTCGGTAGCCTGACGCCCTGCACGCGAAGTCAAGCACTTCACGGTAGAACAGTTTAACGAGGACCAATACCGCACACCCTCGGTCCCTACGAAGACTGATCTAAGAGGTCACCCACCTGCACACTGACCGCAGCCAGTGATGCTTGACTTGTGATCTGCTGGGAACTGTGTCTTAACGATTAGTTCACTGCAGGACAATTTTTATTGGTAAAAGAGCTTCCAAAAACAAAATTAAATTAGATAACTGGAATACATAGGTCAGTGACACAAATGACAGAATTAGTTGTATTGTGCTAAATATATAATTTCCATACCTTAAAAAAGTTTGAAACATCTACAACATGATTAGCACAAGTTCCTTTTCGAGTCAATGGAGCTCCTTCTCCTTGCTAGAGAGAATGTAAAATATAAACATAAGATTGAATAAAAATACATGTTAAAGGGCAATTCTACTCTTCACAAATATTGTATTTGCAGACTTAAAGTTATAACCCAGTTGACGAAAATTCTAACAGATCTAATAATTTTTGGAAAAATAAGTTTTGGTGTTACTTACACTAATTCCAATTTTCAGAAACTTAATTTTATAAAAATTAAAAACTGGTTGTGATGGATCTAACATAGTGTTTTATATCTGTAGTATTCTTTTTAATTCTTAAAAGGCCTTTAAATGAATGAAAGGTACTAAAAATTGGAGTAAATGCATATGGCACCAAGACATTGTTTTCTCAAAAATTATTAGAACTGCTCCCTATTTTTCAATGGAGTTAAATGCTTTTAAAGTCTGCAGATACGACATTCCTACATTCCTAAATGGTGGAATTGCTCTAAAGTAGCATGCAAAGATTTTTTCAAATATCAAGCAATCAAATAATGATCAACACAGTAAATTAATTTTATCATTTAATTATGAAAGTATCAAAATGAGGTCACGTGAAAATTATAACACTACTATAAAATATACACAAGCTAGCTTAAAATTAATTTTCTATTTTTTTTTACAAAATTAAAAACAAAGAAAAATATACAAAAAATGTTTCTTAATTCTTCTTATTGTTGTATTAAATATTCAGTACCCGAATCCTTTTCTTAAAAATAATTTACACTGTTAATACACATTAAAAAAAATTCTTAAAATATAAATGATTTTTTTTTATACTGTAAAATATATTTTTATGTATTAAATAAAACATTAGAAGCATGAATGTATTTTAAAATCATAACATACCCAGTTGATAAATACATATTTCGGAAGTCCACTGTTAGGACAAATAACTCTACAGAATGCATACATAATTTTTCCACTGTTCAATTCATCCACAAGCTCTTCGAGTCCTCCATCTGGAAAAATTGAAAAATGTGCATATATTTTTTTTTTAAACTGAAACCAAGCTTTTATAAATTTAAAAACAAGTTTTTCTAAACCTACACAACAAAGTACAATAATTTTAAGAAACATCAAAAGCAATTTTTAAACAATGTTAAGGAGTAAAACAAAATTTTGCAGAAGTAGGAAAAATTTATGCCTCTAGTGTTTAAAAGTTGGGTCCTATAGATCAGAAAAATAAAAGGAGTTTTTAGTATCATAAATATTATTTAGACAAATATTTATAANTTTGTGAAAATTTAGACACAATTTGTGAAAAATTAAAAATTATATTAAAAAATCAACACAAAAGCATGGTAAATATATAGATTTATCGTTTCTTAAGGGATACAAAAATAAAATTTTAAGAAAAAGTATTTTGTGAAACTACCGTTTTTCTTAAAGTTGAATTTGTGAAACTACCACTTTACCTAAAATTGAATTTGTGAAGGTACCGCTAAACGGTAGTTAATTCGACCCGGACAGACCCCTGATCATAAATATTATTTAGACAAATATTTATAATTTGTCAGGGTGCAAAATATGAATGAATATTGTGACAATTATTTAATTTACAATCTATCAAATTTTTCACTGTGATCTGAGTCAAATATTAGTGGTCGCGGCCAATGCGGATCTCTATTCATTTTAAACAATAATTGGGAAGATTATAGATAATATTTAGTCAAGGTTTTTCCTTTCTTCTTCCTTTTCAGTTGCAACAATTGCATGACCTGAGTATCAGGTTCATGTAAACTAAGCAGACTTGAAGCTAATCTTGCCATTCAGAGTTTGATTAACTTGACATTCCCTTCAGGCTAGAACATCTGTTTTCATTTCTGGGGATGCTGTAGTGCAGTGTTTCCCAAAGTGTGGTATGTGTATCATCAGGGGTATAGGAACAGTTTAGCGGGGTACACGCTCTTATGCGAAATATCTTACAACAAACGAAAATTTCAAAAAATTTAATTTAAAAACAAAGCTAGCCATGGAAATTAATGATTACGTATTTTTCTATTCGCTATTTTTTGCAGAGTTAACAGTTAATAATTAGTGGTGTCAACAGCCAGTTGTAAATTTAAACTTTTATGCAATTTTTTTTATCACAGTAACTGTTATCACAGCAAAAACAATATCATCCTTCTCACTGATGCAAATAAACTTATTAACAAAACTTTGTACTAAAAAGATATTTTACTATACATTTGCATACATAAACATATTTTTTAAAAAAATACATTCATTTTTTTTATAAGTGGTACACAGCTTTAAGAAAAATTTAAAACAGGTACACAAAAGTCATAAGTTTGGAAAACACTGCTGTAGTGGAATAACTACAATATGTTTCTAAGCATTTCTCATAGTGGGGATTTACAAATTAATTGAATCTAGGGAACAGAATATAAAACAAATAATAGCTGCGTCAAAATTGAAAAAATTAAATGAACTAAATTTTTTTTCAATAAACATTAATTCCAGAAGAAGGCCCAAAAATGGGGCAGTAAATATGTAAACAGATTTTGCTAACATGACTTAAAAGTATGCTTGCCGCTTTGTAACTTAATACTAGTCTTGACTTTACCATTAGCAGTTTTAATGTTAAAGAAATCTGACAATTGAACATGAGGATAATTTGAGCATAATTGTGGGTTACACACTAAATGTAGAGATGTAACAAACAAGTTTTGCTTTTGAGGATCTGTTTTGTTATTTAACAAAATATCAAATGTGCAGAATACAGCTAAATATCAAACTTGAAATAAAATTTTTTTTCTTTTTATAAACACAAGATTTGGCTACCAAATTGTAGAAAATATAATTTCGTTCTAAAAGAAAGTGGAAATATTTTGAACAGTTCATTTAGTGTTCTTAGAATATGAAATATTATAAATCGATAACATTAAATGTTCTCTTTCTTATGAATCATGTTCTGAATTATTAAAATAGATGCCTAAATTTTCAAAGTTGATAAAATAAGTTGACAATTATAAAAATTTATTAAAATGCTTAACATTATGTAACAACTAAATTTGATCCTCAATTTTTAAATTAAGCTCTTGCACTATTTCATGTGTATATTTCACAAAGTAATTTCCCCTCATGATCAAAATAACAGAAAAAGGTTCTTTGGGATTATCCAGTCGACCTATCAATGCTCGCGAAAATGTGCAAATCTTTTGGCACTATGAAAAGCAATGTCCAAAATAAAAATTCTAAACAAATAAAATTTATCAAATAATAATAAAATACTAATAACAAAAATGTAAGTGTAAAAATACATAATAAAAAGAATCAAAACAAAGTAAAAACCTCTATTTTTATTACATACACATTGAATTATTTTTAAATCTAACCATTATTATAAATCATTCCAGTAACCAAAAAATTCTAACAATTGCCTAGCGCTCTCTTTGGTGTGAGGCAAATCTCAAATTGGAATCATTTTGCAGAGGTGTAGAAAAAAAACCAGTATATTTCAACACGCTAAAGAAAACTAACTCGCATAGTCAAGGATTACACAGTAAATATGATAAAATTAGGGGTTATTGGAACAGAAGCTACCTTTGGCAATATTGGGTTTGACCAAAAGTGTCGAGAGGATAATCCCAAAGTACATAGAAAAATTTGGAGCTTTTTAAACAAATAATTAAAGGAAAATCTTATTGTATTAATTTTCTTCAATAAAAAAGTAAACTAAAAATAAAAGATTAATTAACGATCGATTTAAAACCTTTTTTAAAACTTTAAACAGACAAATATGAGAAAACAGGGGGGTATTTCTGTATCCTGATCTGTCGTGCCAACTACGATCGTAAAGGTGCCAAATAGATTTTTTTAAAAAACATGTAGATGCATGGTGGTTGTTATGAAGTACACCTTTCGAGTTGGTCCCTTTCTGCAACGTTTTTTTTTTAAAGTTTCAAATGGGCCACTGCCCGGAAGTTGACAAGACATGGCGATTATTCTGCCACAGATCATGATACGGAAATCTCCCCAGAAAATAAGCATTTAAAGGTACCTTTTTAAATAAAAAGGTATTTATTTAAAAACCTAATGGTAAAATTTAAGATCACTGAAAAATTCATTAATGTACCCTCGTTCAAATAAAAGATGTTAATATCTCGGGGTCCAAATATCATGCGAATTTTAACTATTTAACTAGAAAGCATAAAAATCTTACTAAAATGAAGTGAACAATTAAATTTAAACTATAATCAGCAACAAAATAAATCAGAAGTGAACTTTTAATTAGAACAGATGGTTAAAAAAACAACCTTTTACTAAAAAAAAAAAGCTGTGTTCTTAAGGGATGGTGGCTTATTGTTATTACAAGGGCAAGGAGGGCATATTTATTGGGAGCAATGGTCAGGCGGGTTGGGCCTCCCTTCTAAAAATGCTTAGAGAGAACACTGTAAACATATATTTGTTATTTTAATATCTAAATATAAACTGCTTCAGTTGGTTTACTAAAATGTTTGTACTTATCATAAACAACATGTTATCTACAAAACTAATGTTCCTATTTATGCATATTATTTATAACCAGAATTTAAAACAGTTATAAATAATTATTCGTATGTTTGATAAGGATAAGAAATGAAATTAAAATTGTTTCTTAATCAAATGAATGAGTCATCTTACCTCCTTTGCCAACCACATACAAATCATTTGATTGCTTCTCATAACCAAACAAAGCCCTGTAAATAATGAATAAAAACATTCTAAATCAAGTTAAGAATAGTTTTTTATAGAGGAAATTATAGCTTTAATTAAAAAAAACTTTAAAAGAAGTAGACAAAACGCATAACTGGAATGTTTTGTTTACATAATACAAAGAGCTTTAGCTTACCAATCCGTCTCAGATTTATCATCCACAACATCTTTCATAGCATCAAGTAAAGCATTTTTATGTTTTGTTAAATTAACAGACATAATGAAGGCTAAAATTTAGGTTGATAAACACAGGAAATCAAAATCTCCACACTGACGTCAATCTGTTTCTGTAACTTTGCTTATCATGTCCTGATGTGAAATATAAATTTAGTTTATATTTCTAGAAGTATATGAGAATATAAATATTGTTATTAAAAACAATTTAACTTTTCCTTTGCTTGTTTACTACAACTATAACACCAAAATTCCGGCACTCCTGTGATCGCAGAATGTGGCAATGGAAATTTGAAATCACCTTTACATATAATCATTTATCGCTCTCTTGGCTACTTTCATTTACAATTTCAAATTTTTTAAACTCATTCAAATACTAATAGAGATAATGATTCGTTTAAAGAGTTTGAATAAGCAAGCAATATATATATTTTTAATAGCAAAGAAAAACAATAAAAAATTTCAGGAATCAAATTTTAAAATAATTGCTAACGGGATTTAATATTTATGTTAATGCTCCAAAAAAAGATGCCAAATAGCAACAACATCTATAAGTAAAATGGCAACCCTTTCGTTCGAGAGTGAAGATCTGCTCAGATTCAATCCTATTAACAACCTCTATCAAATGCGTTCCGCAGTACAGTTATGTAAATATTATTGAACTTGAAAATCGTTTTCAATTTTATTAGTGAGTAATCATTCCTTTGTTTTAAATAAAATTTGTTTGTTTTTCAAATGTACATTTTATGTGCTGTTGTGTACGCGAAATGTATATTAATATCTTTTTATAATGAATTTTGAACGTAGTTTCGTTATTACGTTTTATCGTCTGATTCGATTGGTTTCGGTATTTACATAAAAATATAAACAATGGTTGCAGTGCTGTGTTATGACGGACCAGCTGTATTGTCGTAATGTTTAAGATCATATATTATAGAATATTAATCAGATATGCTTTGCCTGCGTTGTTGCATTTAAAGGTAAAATTTATTTCGAATAGTAAACAAAGGTTGTCATTATTTGAAATTTGCTTAATTGGTCTATTTATGAAATTCTGAAAACAATATTTACGATTTTAATTAATTTGTTACTTTTTAATAAATAGTAATTTATTCTTATTATTATTTGTTAACTAAAGATTAAGATTATTTTAAGTAAAAAATTTTAATGCATTGATTGAATAAAGGTAAATTATAAATAATTTATTCTTTATCAATAAATAATTACCCATGGAAATTTTCCCCTCTTTTATTCTACCTGTACATATCAGTTGTTTTTAAATTATATTTTAAAGTTCATGTTTATTATTTGTTACCTGTATATTAAGATTATTTTAAGTAAAATTTTTTAATTCATTGATTGAAAAAAGGTAAATTATAAAACAATTTATTCTTTATCAATAACTACCCATAGAAATTTTCCCTCTTTCATTCCAACTGTACATATAAGTTGTTCTTAAATTATTATATTTTCGAGTTTATGTTTTATATATTTACTGGTTGAATATACCCGTTCTTCCTGCCATTTATTATTTATATTAATTTTATATTATAACATTTTATATAGTGAAATTATTTAATATATATTACAGTCTTTGGTTGAATAATAAATAATTTTTTTATCAGCTAATGAAGAATAAATTTTTCATTAATGTTTACTATTAAAAATCATCATAACTGAAATAAATAAGTAAGAAATATTTATTATTTCTTAGCTTATAATTGTAATTTGACTTTCTTTTTAATGTAAAAATGTACAGTTATATTTATTGCATAGATATTGTAGAAAATACATGTAGTAAATATCTTTTTTATAATTTTCAGTTCAATTGAAATTGTGGTTAGAGAAAACAGCTTTTCTGGATGTTATGAAGAAGAGGGAAAACCTTTGTTATTTTGGTGAGCAATAAAAATAAATAAGTTTCTTTGTTTAAATTACAAAATTTTGTATGAATAGTGTGTAATTCATCATTATATACAAACTTATATAATTTTTATATTTTGGTAGTGTAAATTATGTGATAATATTTAAAATTAAAAATTGTCAATCCTGAAATATGATTCAAAATGTTTATCTTTCATTTGTTACTTGATCATCAAAATCATGATAGCTAAAATTACTAAGTTACTATAATTATAGTACGTAAATTTAACCCATTTAATAAATTTTAAAAATTTTTTATTCTACTAAATTCAAGTATTTTCTGAAAAACTTGCATTTTTCCAAATTATTATTATTATTGTTTGTTATCTATGTTTTTAAAGGTTTTATTTTATTCATAGAGAAATATTTATTGAGAATTTATTTATTTAGAAAGATAATTATTTTGAAACAAATGTGTGTACAAAAAATATTATGTTTATTGTAGTAACATTTGATATAATTCAATTTTTTATTGTAAATCATCAATATATTTTAAATTGAGCTCATTAATAAATAATTACAAGGATATTGCCCTTTTGGATTCTGTTTTGATCCCAACAACTGCAACACCGAAGTGCCACAACCACATACTTGTATTTACATTAAGTTTAAAATGCATATACCTCTCTGAAGTAGCTTTGGTGTTGCCAAATCTTAGCAACCATTTTTATAGGCTTTTAAAAGGAAATCTTCCCATATTTACATTTCTTAATACATTGTTTAAAAACTTCAAGAATTTTTTCCTCTAAATTTCCTAATTTTTTTAAGCCTTCTAAAAACAATGCTTATTATTAAGCATAAAATTGTTCTCAATATTAAGCATAAAATTTTGAGTCCATTAAATTTTTTAGACTAAAATATATTTCTAAAATTCGATGAGTCGGCAAATATCAGTGATTATTTATTTATAGATTTTTTTTTCATGGAAGTTAAATAATAGTCTTAAAAAGCATCTTAAAAGCAAAGAATGTACAATGAGATAAAAGGCTAGTTTCCCTAGATATAATGTAAATTTGTCCCCCCAAGGATTGGTACGGCCCCTCGAGTATAAAAGAAGTAGCAATATTTAGGAGCACAGCTGCAGAGGATCATTTTTAAATGGGTTTTTACCCACCCCAATCACTGACAGGGTTTGGGAGAAGAAGAAATGTTTTCTCTTTATGTTAATGGTTGGTCTGTTGTTGCATTTTTGTACTATTTTTTAACAGTATTGTACTACAGTACAGAACCCGTTATCCGGAAATCCGAAAACCAAAAAACTGGAACGAAATTCGATAAATTTTTCCGCCATTTTTAAAAACAAAAAAAAATTTTTTTCCTCATAAGATTTTAGGATTTTTCTTTCTTTTTTGAAGGATGTTTACCTTACCATCATTTTGGAAATAGTCATTAGTGTATTACTTCATCGTTTTTTCTTTTTAAGATTATTTCCAAATATTTTTTTTTAGTTGGATTTAATAATAAAAAACGTATATATAAAAAAACGCAAAAAATGTATATTATTAAGAATAAAAATATTTATATTGAATTCAATATGTAATTCTTATTATTATTGCAATACATATTAAACTGTACTTTTATTATTTGTCCAATCCATCAAATTAATAGGCATGAATTTGTCTACCTCTGGTGAAAGCAGTAAATTGTTTCCCATTCCTTGGCACCTTAAAATAATATGGGAATTTTAAATTTGTCTCAAAGCATTGTTAAAATTAAACTTAAGTGTTTAATATTTGTGAAACTAAAGATAATATAATAGTAAATGATTTGAATATTTTTTATATTTTATTGAGAAATCAGTGATGTATTAAGGTGACTATGTTAATTCACTTGTTATGTTTAATTCGAAAAATCTATTAAATTTAAAGCATAACTATTAATCATTAGTTAACGAATTGAGCAACTATTGCAACTACAAAGGCCACTTTAAATTATAATGAAATAGAATGAAATTTTTTTTGACACTTTCTATATTCTATTTCGTATCTTTATTGAAAAATATCCCGATTTCTAATTGTATTGGGCTTTTTTTCACTCTTTCACCAAAGAGTTCTGAAATAATCTTTTTTTGATGCACTGATATATAAAATTTTCAAAATAAGTTTCATGGAAAACCATTCTTCAAGACATTTGTGTATGAGATCATGATTATACTAACTGCAACCACTAATTCAACAAATAGCTGATGTCTGTTTCTTTTAAATGCAATTATATATATATATGTACATAAAATACATATAATCACTTTCCCAGTGGTGGCTACGAGCTTTATCGTACAGGAATGCCTTATTCTGGGATTTTTTTTATTTTTAGTCTCTTTTAGTCACTGTCACTATTGTCGCCATAGGCACAAAACTCAATACTACAGTTGTCTTTCCCCTTAACTATATCCGAGTAATGTTCATAACAATAGAGTGTAGGCTTTTTATTTATGTGAAATGTATTTTTTCTATTCAGGCTCTCAATAAATCGGGATTCACAAAAGAGAAATTTATGTGTACTGCAAAAACGTTTATATTTTTAATCATAATTTTTTCAAATTTAATATAAATGCAAAGTATGAGTGCAAGAGATATGCTTATATGTTTGTAAATTGGGGATAGTGACCACGTAACTCTGGATCTAAAACCCGTACATCTATTTTCTCCTCAATCTTGATGTGCACTTTTTTCCATAAACTGTAAAGCGTCCAGTTATCCGGCCAGGTTTTGCCCAAGACAATTTTATTCTAATATCTCTCTTATTTCTCCTTGTTACATAAAACTTTTTTATAAAATTAGTTTTAACTCAGGACACTAAACTGCTGTTGAGAAACTGTGCTTGGTAAAAAAATTTATATGCAAGTTTGCCAAAGTAGTACAGTCATTGAAGAATTGGTGCAAGATATTATTTTAAAAAGAATATTTTCATCTCTAAATTTTATAGAAATATTTAAATAATTTTTTCGAATTTTTGATATTCAAATTCTGTGATTAAGAATAAATGTCATTGATGTAATAGTTTTTTAGCAATGAAAATCTAAATATTTGTAATTTTTCTCCAAGTCATTCTGGTGTTTATATGGAAATTTTGCAGTACTCTTAGTATGGAGTCGTAGCATGTTACAGTAGAGTATAGTACAGTTACAGTAGAACATGTTAAAGGCTATTTATTCTTTCTAGTATAGAGTAGTGAGTTTATAAGAAATTAGTGCATAATTTTTTTAATCCTTAAAAAGTCAAGTTTACAAAAATTACCTTGACAAACAATTTTTTTAAACTCAATAAAATGTTGAAGAAAAAAAAACTGGCATATTGTATTGGAAAATAACGAATTATTCCCCAAATTGAACTCTAGATCAATAATTGTAAGGTTGACATTTTGAGAGCTTAACTTAAAAACAATTTATGTATTCCTGATGAGTATGTAATTTACATGTGCATATTTTTGTTTTCAGGTAAAAAACCTTTGAGATTATGCTGGACTCAAGAATAATTTTTGTAGTGTTTAATTATGTGTTGTGAGATTCACAGACAGCTGCTTTCCTAAACGTAAGTGCTATATTAAAAAAAATTTTTTTTTTCTTAACTGAAAAGAAGTTATGTATGTATATATTTTACAAATGTAATTATTTAGAATTTTTTTAAATATATATAAAGAGATATCAGTTGTTTTTGATTATTTGTT